GGTCTTCCATTCCAAACCTTTTTTAATTCAACTCTCATCAGAAGTCATTTTCCTCAAAAGGCATCCTTTGCATACCATTCACCGTCATTATTTATTTGACTTTATAACAAGCTCTCGTCCGTGTTTTATATATATTAAGTCATTTTCATTCATCATCGCCACACGCAAAAGCAAATTCCTAAAATGATCCCAATTATTTTATTTCTTTTATTTCCAATATCAGATAGTAAGTCAGATCAATTGCAAACTTATAATTAGCTTAAATTAGTCTTTTGGCACCAAAGCCTCGTTCTCCCTTGCAGGTAGGGAGTGGCAAGTGAAACACTGGACAAAGCATTATAGCAAAACCAAAAAAAAAAAATTATGTATTACCATAACAATACGTTTATATAATATTGGGATATGACAGGAGAAATTGCATGAAAGGGGGTGTCATTGATGCCAGCGTTCTCGTGTCAGGATCCCAGACTTGCGTCATCATCGTCATTATTATTATTTTTGGTTTAAACATTAATTGACTAATTAACTAACACTTGTAAATTCAACGGCCGGTTCGTATTATGTATATATACTCCTTTTTTAAAGGAAAAAAAAAAAATGCAAAACGCAAGCATATTCCGCATGATTCCAAAAGTTATCCTGTGATTAATATTGATTTCTCTACTCTCAACAAGAACTTAGGATCGTATGGATTTATAACTATGAATTCAATTCCATTTCAATTCCGTGATTCATGGTCTATCCAATTAAATGGAAACAACTCACTTTCCTCTCTATTTTCTCACCACTTACAGCCCGTTTGGTTGGATTCCATGAGAGAGGATTACAAGTAATCCTTGTGTAATGAGGTGATTCATACATTTAGTTGGACTTATAACCTTATATAATGTAAAAGAAATTACATCAAATGAATGTATCTGAATTACACTACTAAGACTGATGAACAGAGATGCAGACCTCTTGTAATCAAGCTAAAAAGATAATATTACCATTATAATTTTTAAAATTGACCAACGTGTCCACAGATAAACCCTATTGATAGCCTACCCATTTAGCCATTCTCTTTGCCGCTACTCCTACCGTCTTTGTCGTTACTGCTATCACCTTGGAACAGAAGTCATCGCTACTTTATCTCTGTTGTTACTGTTATCATCTCCATCAGCAACCATTTTGTTGCTGCTGCCATCGTTTCCCTTGCCAGACTAATATTTCATTCATTAACCCTGTTATGTTTCTTCTACATTGAAAGTCACGTCTTTTTTCCCCTTAAAATTCCAGTTTTTGAAAGCCTTTTTGTTTTGCTTTCATGGAAGTTTTGATCTATTATTGGCAATTGCACACACTGCTACATATTATTACTAAACTTTAGTTGAATGGTTGATACATATTTGGTGATATATATATGTATATATTAATTAGTTGCAAGGGAGAATCTGGTAATGGGAAAGCATACATACATATTATTATATTTGTTTGTGTATTATATACTCTCTTTTTTTGGCTTGAACTTATTATTTTATATATGGATATATAGGGTCATCATGTATATTTGGAGAAAAAATAGAGAACTTTAAATCATTATATATACATTTGTATATGTAAATAAGGGTAATTTTGTCTTTTGATATTTTTTTTACCTATTCTCATGTTCTTTATAATCCAACCAAATGTTTTTATGCCTATGCATCATCTTTCTTCAATAATGCACCAAACAAACTTATGTGATTACTATTACATTACATTGTATTATATTCCATTATATTGCCAAAAATTAAGTGAACCAAACAGGCACTTAATGTTTTTATCATTAAATCAAATTTCAACGGTTGAGATTTATTCTGTAAATATGAATCCAGTCCATTATTTCTATTTGAAATACATCGCTGAAGTGATGCTCACTCAATGTATACAGGGAAAGGGACACTGTATGGCATAAGTGATGAGAATCTGTTTATTTTTAGGTTCAATTTCCAAACCGTGAAAAAAAGTTATCGACTCATTCTGGGGCGGTCACTCCCCTGTTACGTTCCTGCGCAATTTCTTGGTTTTGGAACTTACGGATGTTTTAAAAGCCATACTGAATTTTGAACTGAAGAAGCTAACGATTTGTGGTTCTTATGTTGAACCGGTCGACTGGTGAAATAAGAATTAAATAAAAATAATACTCTTCTTATTCTTAATATAAAACTCATTTAACTAATTTGATTATATTAAAGAAGTTAAGTAAGTTAGTTAATTATAAGAAATGTGACACGTTTGTCCTAAAACACCATAATTATCTTTCTTAATACCCCCTCTCTTCTACTTGATTATGATTGAGGGAGTATCCATAGGGGTAATTTAGAGAAAACTGATAAATATGAGAAATGAGTCTTATATTTAGGACCAAAACTACCTCAACAATTGGGTCCTATATTAAGGACCGAAGGAGTATTTTATATATTTATGATAATATAAATATAATATGAAATTATTTTATAATTTGGAAATAGATACAAACAAGCTACACAAAAACAAAACCTGGCTTAACTCTCAAGTCCCAGAATGATAAAATTATTGGAATAATCTTTTACTACCATATCTTTAAAATATACTTCCTCTTATTCTTAATACCACCTTCAGTCCTAATTATAAGAGCTAGTTGACTAATTCGAGAAGATTAAGAAAAGAAGTTATATTAGTTATTTGTAATAAATAAGTAGTATCTTTCCTAAAATATCCTTATTAATCAAGTGTATTGGCTAAATTACTATTATTGAAAGGATTACCTTAGAAAAAAATATATAAATATGAGAGATAAAGTGAATTATAATCTTATATTTAGAACCAAAATAAAAGTCAAACAAGGTCTTATATTAAGGACCGGAGGTAGCATAAAAATTCGTTTGATTTTTATTTTGTTTATAATATCTCAATCTATTTTATTTCTTATATTTATATATATTTATAAGATAATCTTAATTAGCAAGAATATTTTAAAAAAGATAACACCTATTTATTATAAATAACTATTTATTCAATTTAGTCAACTAGTTCAAGTAATAATATTGAAATAGGAGTAATTTTTTGTTCTTTTACGCTTCTGGTGCACTAGTACATTTTGCAACAACCTTTTTTATCAAAATCACTTCACTGCACGATGCATGCCTTCACATGCAAGGTTTTGATTTCTTTTCAATTTTCACGTCCCTAGATTGCATAAAAAGTAGTTTTCGCTCTCGGACTAACCTTTTATGGTGTTGCACAGAGTATCTTACTCCGGTGGTGGTAGTCTAGCACCGTCATTCAAAAATCAAAGTTGGTGATGGCTTCTCCAGCTCATTCTACAGTGCAGTGGCTTCAACAACTCGTCTTGCAGAGCCAAAAGCATCAGCCTATCCTATCTTTCTCCTTTTTTTCCTTCCAAGGGGCATCTGGCGTTCTTGTTCTACGTCATCTTAAAGTTTCTTTTCGTTTTTCTTGGTCAAGCTCTAATTTTATTGGGTTTTTTCTCTCATTCGTTTCGATAATGTAAGTTTTCTTTCTTGTTTTCTGATAAGTTCTTCCTTTTTTCCCTTCTTCGGTGTTATTCCTTTCATGTTCTTATTTTTCAAATGAGAAAGCGGATGAACCAGTGAAAACGAGCCGGAGAATCTGCCGGCCTCCGAGTTTTAAATCATTGATTCCAACTAAGAATTTTTATTCGCACCCAAGAAATGCATAATCAGTGTGCTGCGTATGGATTTTGATAGGAGAAATACTGAAATTGTCATTTGTCACTGCTGGGGCGGATTCTTCGAATGCTGTCAAGAATATATAGGGATCAGAGGCGAATATCTCGTCGCCTGTTAGACGGTGATATTCTTGTAGTCCCCGAAGGAAAGAGACCCGCCAAATTTGAACCGTACTGGGTTTTGTCTCTGCTTGTTGACGGCAGGCGACCTTGGACCCTATTTCTTTTTATATATATAATGACAGTCAGGGTGGTCCTCAATCCCATGAGTGCAGCAACGGCCTTTTTCTTTTGCTCGCCTGATTACTTTTTCTTATTTGTCATCTCGCATCCACTTGGAGCCACTTCGTGTAATTTCATCACTCAGGTTAGTTTTCTGTCCAGTAGATGTCTTTTTCATATTAATTAATATATCCATTTATCTTTCCCTCGTTATCCTATATACGGGACCATTTGCCTTCAAGAGATCGTTCATTAAGTAGAGCCTTGAAAAAGTAACAAACAGCGGAGTAACTGATGCTGAAGATAGCCAGTTCGACATTTCTCATCGCATACATGTCTTCACAGAAGTTTGTTGCTTGTTTCACTGCGCCTTCCATGTTCTGGTTTACGACTTTATGGTTACAGTGGTCCTGTAATTGCAGGAATACGCAATGTGCCAAGTCGGCTGACAAATCCTGAAGAAGCAGGATACACCATCAAAGGTATAATCTCTTTTAAGTTCTCTTTTTTCTTTCGTATTTCTGGCAAATAAGCTGTGCATTTGGGTTTCAGCAACTTTCTATGACAAAAGGAAGCAACATATTTTGACTAGAATAAGGCTTCTTCTTTCTTTTCTTTTGGTTTCCTTTTCCTTTTCTCAAACTTCACTTAATTCTTATTGTAGCATGTTTTCTATCATTTGATATTGTAGTTTGTCAATGGATTCTTCTATTTATTTCAAGGACTTGTACTCTTGAGAAGATTGATCTCGAGTCTTTACTTTATCTAATAGTGATATGCGTTTTATTCACATCATAAAATCTATCTCTTACAATAGCTTCAGCTTAGGATGAATGTGTTTTAGTTTCATCTTAAATTTTCACAACTCTTTCTAGAATCAACTACTCATTCTCTTGTTATTTCTCTCCTTTTTGCACAGTGTTAACTCCATGTTCTTTTGTACTATTGGGCCTTTGTAAAACGCAAGGTTTCAATGACATTATGCACATAACTCCAGTTGCTGGGACTGAGTTTCTCGAGTGATCCCAATAGGTTCCAAGGACAAGAAGTTTGGAATCCAGAGAAGATGGATCCAGTAAGATCAATAGAAGACCAGTTCTCCAAGTTGCATCCATCCTTGCCAGTGAACACTCGAATTGGGATAGTGGGGGGTGGTCCAAGTGGCTTATCAGCTGCTTATGCATTATGCAGGCTTGGTTATAAAGACGTGACCGTGTTGGAGAAGCATCATACAGTTGGTGGCATGTGTGAATCAGTGGAAATTGAAGGTAAAACTTGATAGTAATCACCAGTTGATTCATGTCACTAATACTTGAATCTTGACTAGATGTTGAATCTATTTATACAGGGAAAGTTTATGACTTAGGCGGGCAAGTTCTTGCTGCAAGTAGCGCTCCTGTCATTTTTCACTTGGTAAAAGAGACAGAGTCTGTGCTAGAAGAAATGGATTCCCACAAGCTTGCTGTTATTGAGCGTTCTACAGGAAAATATCAAGATATTAACGTTGCAGATGATTATGTATCTGTGATGTCACTTACATTGGAGATCCAAGTACGTCTCTACGATTAGCCTATTCCACATAATGACTTGAAAGTTGAAACCTACTTATTCCTTTTGCTTGCTAACAGGAAATGGTAAAGAATTCTGATCGTATTGGGGTCCACGCTGTTACTGAACTCACTTCAGACTTAAGTCCAAAATATATTGAGCGACATGGACTCAAATTTGTTCCTAAATCCGTAGCCTATGGTTACACTGCTTCAGGATATGGGTTTGTTCAAGATATGCCATACGCATATCTTCATGAATTTACAAGAACATCAATGGCTGGAAAAATTAGACGTTTTAAAGGTGGATATACAAGTCTTTGGCAGAAGATTGCTGATGCACTTCCACTGAAACTTCATTGCAACACTGAAGTTTTGGCTGTTAGACGCAACTTTGAAGGTGTCATTGTTAATGTCAAGACTTTTGATGAAGTTAAAACAATGGAGTTTGACAAGATTATAATCTCGGGAAACTTTCCATTAAAATATGGAAGAACTTATAGATCCCCACCTTCAGCTTCCATAGGTATGTAAATTTATTGCTCGTAAATTTATTTACACAAGGTTTTTGTGGCTTTGTCCCACCAGATTCCTAATGATCAAGTCTTGTCAGCAGAGCATGAAATGGAAGTCATGGATGTCAGTGATCTTGAAAGGGATTTATTCAGCAAAGTAGAGACAAATGACTACTACACTACTGTTGTGAAGATTAAAGGGCTCGAAGATATGCCTGTTGGATTTTATTATTTTAGTGAGTTTATGGAAGATCCTAGCACAATCGGAAATCCAGTTGCGTTGCAGAAATTCTATGCTGACACTGATATATTCTTGCTATGGTCATATGGCAACTCTGATGACATTAAGGGACCAATTGTCACCGAGCTTGCGATCAATGCAGTAGAAGCCATCGGAGGAAAAGTTGAGAATGTTATTCTTCAACGTCGTTTTAAGTATTTCCCTCATGTTAGCAGTCAAGGTATTTCAATTTTCAATTGTTTATTTTGTTTTCCTTCACCTAGTAAGTGTATTAAGTTTTGAAAGTTTGAATGCAGATATGAAAGATGGTTTCTATGACAAATTTGAATTAGAACTTCAAGGTTCGAGGAATACTTACTTTGTAGGTGGACTTGTGGCATTTGAGCTTACAGAGAGAAATGCATCTTATGCTATGGCTTTAGTCTGCAAGAACTTTGGGAATAACAGTGATCTGCCAGTATTTCCTTACACGAAGGTAATTTGGCATTATGCACACATAAACCAATCAATATTTGGGACATGTGCAGCTTTTATGAGTTTTAGATATTCATGCTATTATACCAGACATGTGCTTACTAGAAGCATGTCTTTTGCAGAGTTTGTTTCCCTTGCAAATGAACAGCACGAAAAATGATCCAAAAGAATTAGGCGAATTGCCAGGAATACAATTTCCTGATTTGCCTAATATGAGTAGCTATTTGAAGTACTGGGGAACTCATTTTGTCACTCAAAACAAAAGTCTCTACACTTGGATTAATGAAGAAGGGGTTGTGATGGGCCAAAGGACCTATGGAGAGCTTTACTCAAATGCCAATTATATTGCTCAAAAGCTCTTAACGAGTCAAAAACCAGTTATCAAACCTGGAGACAGGGTTTTAATGATCTACGTCCCTGGTTTAGACTTCGTTGATGCCTTCTTTGGATGTCTAAGAGCTAAAGTCATACCAGTTCCCGTTCTTCCCCCAGACCCAATGCAAAGAAGTGGGCAAGCACTTATGAAGATTGAAACTATTGCTAAATCATGTGGCACAGTAGCAATTTTGTCAACAACAGCTTATCATTCCGCTGTCCGTGCAGGGTCGGTGAAAAATTTAATCTCACTAAGCGGAAAAGGTGGGAATGCTTCAGCTCGGTGGCCTAATCTTCCATGGCTACACACTGATTCGTGGGTCAAGAACTTCAAGAACCTGAGTATGGAATGCCTAGCTGATCAGTCTGAACCCCAACCTAATGATATCTGTTTTTTGCAATTCACATCAGGATCGACTGGCGATGCTAAAGGAGTAATGATAACTCATGGGGGGCTCATTCATAATGTGAAGTTGATGCGAAGACAATATAAAAGCACCTCAAAAACAGTACTAGTGAGCTGGCTTCCTCAGTATCATGACATGGGGCTTATTGGCGGACTCTTCACATCTCTTGTTAGTGGTGGTATGGCTATTCTCTTCTCTCCAATGACATTTATCAAGAAGCCACTTTTATGGCTTGAAACTATCAGCAAGTATCAAGCAACTCATAGCGCTGGCCCTAACTTTGCTTTCGAGTTATTGATTCGAAGGTTGGAGTGTGACAAAGATAAACTTCAGAATTTAGACCTTTCGTCTATGATTTTTCTCATGGTTGCAGCGGAGCCAGTGAGACAAAGGACTTTGAAAAGATTTATTGAACTAACCAGTCCTTTTGGCTTATCTCGGGAGGTGACAGCTCCCGGATATGGCTTAGCAGAAAATTGTGTGTTTGTTTGTTGTGCATTTGGAGAAGGTTACCCTATTATTGTTGATTGGCAAGCAAGAGTTTGCTGCGGGTATGTTCACCCAGGAGATGCCGATATGGACATTAAAATAGTTGACCCAGAGACTGGTGAAGAGCTTCAAGAAGATGGAAAGGAGGGAGAAATATGGATTAGTAGTCCAAGTGCAGGAATAGGATACTGGGGGAAGGAAGAATTGAGTCAAAAAACTTTCAGGAATAAGCTTCAAAATCATCCTGGACGTAACTACACAAGAACTGGAGATTTGGGACGTATAATAGAGCAGAAGTTGTTTATCACTGGCAGAATCAAGGATCTTATCATTGTTGCTGGAAGAAATATTTACTCAGCAGATGTTGAGAAAACAGTTGAAAGCTCATGTGAGCTTCTTCGTCCAGGGTGTTGTGCTGTCATTGGAGTCCCTGAGGAAATTCTATCAGCGAAGGGAATTTCCGTTCCAGATGGTTCCGACCAGGTTGGCCTTGTCGTGATTGCAGAAGTAAAAGACGGAAAACCAGTAGGCAAAGATGTGATCCAGCAAATTCAGACTCGTGTGGCAGAGGAACATGGAGTCACTGTTGCTTCAGTCAAGTTAGTCAAGCCTAGAACCATTAGTAAAACGACCTCAGGAAAGATCAAGAGATTTGAATGCTTAAAGCAATTTATAGATGGATCGTTGAACTTTGCACCACAACCACTTTTGACAAAGAAAACATTAGTACGATCATTCACTACAGGAACATGCAGGGAAGGATATACGCCTCGACCCCAACTAGTGTCAAATAAAAATCTAAGCGCTTCAAGAATCAGCAACAAACAAATTGTGGAATTCTTGAAGGGGCTTATTTCTGAGCAGACAGGTGTTCCAATTGACAACATCTCACTTACAGACAACCTAGCATCATATGGAATTGACTCAATAGGTGTGGTCAAAGCAACTCAAAAGCTCTCTGATTTCCTGGGAGTGCCCGTGGCAGCTATCGATGTCTTCACTGCGTCTTGCATTCAAGAGTTGGCTAATTTCTCAGAGAATCTTCTATTGAAGTCTCAACCTCAACTTGTGAATAATCTATCCCATGTTGCAGAACTGGAGATTGATTCTTCTGAATTGGTTGTCGATGTTACCAGATCTCGCCAATTTGGTATTCGTTTCCTCCAGATCCTAGCACTCATTTATGTGTCTATCATTCTAGTTTTTCCCGCATATTTATCGATCACTGCCTTTTTGGGCTTCATCCAAAGTGTTAGTAAATCAGTAGATGGGATATGCTGGTTAAATTATTTAATTTCCTTGAGTTTTGCGCCTCTTGCTTGGATCCTTTGCATTGTTTCCACCTGTGTTTGCATTTCATTGTTCGGGACTTCTCTCCTGAGGCCAAATTATACCCTTGCCCCTGAAATTTCCATTTATTCTGTGGATTTCATCAAGTGGTGGGCACTTTATAAAATGCAAGAAATCTCTTCGAAAGTTCTGGCGGTACATCTTAGAGGTACAGTATTCCTGAAATATTGGTTTGAGGTGCTTGGCGCAAGAATTGGACCTGGAGTTTTGCTGGATACAGTTGACATCACAGACCCATCTCTAGTTTCAATTGGAGATACGGTTGTTATTGCAGAAGGAGCTTTGCTCCAAAGCCATGAGGTGAAGAATGGACTTGTCAGTTTCTTGCCTATTAGGATCGGCAAAGGTTCTTCCATTGGGCCTTATGCTGTTTTACAAAAAGGAAGTATTGTTGGAGAAGGCATTGAGGTGCAACCTCTGCAAAACGTTGAAGCGGGCCAACATGTGCTCAAAACGACAAGGCCTAAAAATGTTTGTAAGGTTTGTTCTAATGTTGAATAATATTACAAGAAAATTTTAAATTCAACACCTTGCATATTTTAAATAACTAAGATTCCTTTTTTTTTTTTTTTAATGGAAATGTCAATTGTTATCACTTGTAGTGCATTTTACCATATCACTTGTATGTATGTTTTTTGGGAGTTGAACTTTATTTGCGTTTTATCTTTTACTTTGGGGGGTTTGTACTTACTAAAACTCAGTCATGTTTACATTTTTGGCATGAACAAAATGGTTCTAAGATTTAATCTAACTTTAGTGAGCTAGATAACTAAAACTCTTAACTATATTAAATAATGCCTCTTCTAATCATATTTCAGAATGCGGTCCTGCCTGTTGATGCCAGTGAAGTTGAATCTACTGTTATTAACCATTTCGTTGGAATCTATCTGGTTGGTTTTCTGAATTCCCTTGCTGCTGCTATTGTCTACTTCTTGTACATAAGGTTCTTCTCAAAACTCCCATCATTTCAACACTTCTCATTTATTTGCTTATCTGGGGCCTTCCATTGGATACCATTTACCATCATAGCATATGCTACCATGTTTTCTTCTGTCCCATCAAGTTCCATTATATTCGCCATTTCATTTTCATGTGGCTACTTGCTTCATGGTCTTATCCTCAGCTCTCTCACTTGCTTTTTAACTCGACTCCTGGCATGTAGTCGAAACCAAACCCATTTCAAAATCTGGCTTCGACATAGAATCACCATTGTTTGCCACCTTAGATTTGCAAAGCTTTTAACAGGAACAGAAGCCTTTTGCGTGTATTTACGTCTCTTAGGTGCCAAAATTGGCAAGCACTGTTCTATCAGAGCCATCAACCCTGTTTCAAACCCAAAATTAATGTCAATTGGTACCGGGGCCCATCTTGGTGATTTTTGTCGGATAATTACCGGGTTCCATTCTTCTAATGGGTATCTCAGTGAAGAAGTCAAGATTCAGGATAACTCAGTTGTTGGGAGTCAAAGCCTGATCCTCCCTGGTTCAACTATTCAAAAGAATGTCATTTTGGGTGCACTTTCAATTGCTCCAACGAATTCCACGCTCCAAGAGGGCGGTGTGTACATTGGATCTCAAACCCGAGTTGCTAGTAGAAACTCTATAAATGCATTGGATGAACGGATAGAGGAGATGGACATGGGATACAAGAAATTAGTGTCCAATTTGGCTGCAAATTTGGCTGCGACAACTTTGAAAGCTAAAGCAAGATATTTTCATCGCATTGGGGTTAGCGGAAAGGGATACCTAAAACTATACAACAAGATAGAAGGCCTTCCTCTACACAAGATTTTTCAGCCGGGAAAAAGATACGCAATCATTGTTAGGCACAGCAATAGTTTGAGTGCTGATGACGATGCAAGGATCGATGCTCGCGGTGCAGCTTTAAAGATACTCTCTGAAGGACCTACTTGTGAGTGTCCTCTTTATGACTTAACACTTAAAACAGGCCCTGCATTCTATGCTCGCACTATTGCTGATTTCACACACTGGCTTGTTTGTGGGCTTGATGCAAGAAAGGAGTTTGTCAAGCGACTCCCACATGTTCGTGACGCAGTATGGAATTCTCTTCGGCATGCTAACTCTTACACCGAATTGCATTACTACTCAAACTTCTGTCGGCTAATCCGCTTTACAGATGGACAGGCAATGTATGTGAAGTTCAAGTTGCGGCCTTATGACAAGAGTATTAGTGAAGATTCAGGCAAGGTAAAGCCAAAAGATATACTTCCACCGGAGACAGGTGCTATTCCGAGGGATGAAAATGATACACGCCCTTTACTTTTTCTTGCTGACGAATTTCAGAAACGCGTGAATTCTCCAAGTGGGGTTCAATACATTCTTCAAGTACAACTCCAACCAATACCAGATAATGAAGCCTCTCGTGAAGTTGTGCTAGACTGCACTAAACCATGGGATGAGGATAAGTTCCCATACATTGATGTTGGAGAGATAAATATTAATCAAATACTTCCTGCTGAAGAATCAGAGAGACTAGATTTTAATCCCTATCTTCGAAGCCATGAACTCGACGTCATCCGTGCTACTTCAAGCTCCCAAAGTGCTTCTATTGATCATGGTCGTTCCTTGGTCTATGAGATTAGTCAGAAGCTAAGAAATAAAGAGCCGCTCCCAGAGGCCTTAAGGAGCTTTATTGAGGAATCTGATGTGAAGATAGATCTATCAAATTGTCCCACGGCAACACCGACGGCACAAAAAAACATGTTGCAAGAAGTGAGCTTGACCAGAACATGGTATCAAACCTTGTCAGCAATTTTCATTCAACCATTGCTACAAACCGGTTTACCTTATTTAGTGGTGGGCTTAGCAATTTTTGGTCCTCTGAATTGGGTTGTTCAACAAAAAAACGCCAAAAAACTGCCAGTCCATTGGTTGCTTCCTTTGTGTTGGCTTCTCTCAGGTATTGTGGCAGCATTGGCATGTGTTGTTGCCAAATACGTGCTTGTGGGAAGGAAGAAAGCAGGTGAAACGGTGGCCATATGGAGTCAAAGGGTAACAATGGATAGCACATGGCAGGCCATTAGAACTATGGTTGGAGATTATTTTATGGACATGACTAGTGGTTCATATTGGTTTGTGGTGTGGATGAAGTTGATGGGCGCAGAGGTCGAAACAGATCGTGAGGCCTACGTGGACAGCACAGGAGTATTGATGAACCCTGAAATGGTGAAGATTGGGAATGGAGCATGTGTGGGAAGAGAAGCTCTGCTCTTTGGGCACATATATGAAGGAGAAGGCGGGATGGTGAAGTTCGGGGAGATCAACATCGGAGAAGACGCATTTGTAGGAAGTAGAGCTGTCGTGATGCCCGGCGTGCAAGTGGAGAATGAGGGTAGCCTCAGCACACTCTCTCTTGCCATGAAAGGAGAAATCATCAGGTCTAAATAATAACAACAATAACAACAATAACAATAGGATGTTGTCTATCAAAATAACTATAATAATAATAATAATAATAATAGGAAGTCTTTTGCTCATTTGATTGACAAAAGTCCTGCCTTGTTTCTTTGTTTGGTAGCAATAAAATAACCCGATCATATCGATCAAGTTGAGAGCTTGCATCCAAATTCAATAATAAACAAAAAGATCACAATTGTTATTTGAATGAGACCCACATTAGTTTTGTTTAGATTATACAGTATTATCTATTTCCATTTTAATAAAATAAGCAGCAAAAATTAATTCTATATACATCAAAGATATATAATGTGAAAATCGGTATAAAACCAATCGCATAATTATGATTATCCCACGTACAGTATAGTTAAGGTATCACATTTGTAGACAATAAAAAGTGCAAAGTGTCCTATAAAATAAAAATTTAAAGGATGAAAAATCTCAATTAATTCCATATGAAATATCACTATTTGAATTTAGACTTACATTTTTAACATATTTTTAATTAGGCTAAAAATGAATATCCCTTAAATTTCTGATGTGCGGTGAGAACGTAAATGTACATGCAAAATATTGAAAATGTAACCAGTCATGTTCAATATCATACTACCTTTTTAGGAAAACTTAAATTAAATTTCTGATAAAAGCTGTCGGCCATAAAGAAATTGCTGATAAAATCATAAAACTCACTTGGGGGTGTTGTTACCAGAGATTGATTTACATAGATAATAATGATATGCAGAAGCAGCCTTGTTATAATTGTAGCGGTGTGCAAACATTATTGGCACAAAGCAACGATTTCATGAGTTTGAACTTATGGGGCCACGATAGCTCACTCAACAAAATAATAAAGCCTCTATCGCAAACAAAATTAGAATATTGTAAAATGAAGCTGGTCAAAAAAAATTGTAAAATGAAAATATCGTAATGTAAAATGAACCATATACTTCCTCCAGTTTTTAATGTATAAGCTAATGGACTAATTTGAGTAGATCAAGAAAATTAGTTGATTTAGTTATTTGTAATAAATAGGTGTTATTTTTTTGTAAAATATCATTACTAATCAAGTATATTAGTTATAACTATCATTATTATAAGAAAAATCTTAAGAAAAAAATAGATAAATATGAGAGACAAAATGAATTGAAATCTTATATTTAAAATTATAATAAAAATTAAATAAATTCTTATATTAAACACTGAAGCATAGTATATGACAAATAATGATAGAGTAACAATGACTGGTTAGTCAGGTCAAACAGAAAAAGTGACAAACAATCTCCTCAAACTTGATTTTAAAAAAATAAATAAATAAATAAACGTACAGTGATGACGGTGCCAAGCACCGAAGGAGCGCATACGTTTCTCCGCAAAGGTCCACTCTGAGTCTGTGCATGCCTCTCTCCTTACCTCCCAACACCAATTCTAATGCTATTCCGTAAAAGCTCTCTTCTTTATCATTCTCTCTCTAGTCTCCAGAATTTGGCGGTTGTTATTCTGTCCCTTTGTGGCTCCATGAATATAGCCCTCCCCACCAAAGCCTTCGCTTGGACGTTGATCATGAGCATTCTGATCCTAACTCTGGTGATTTCACTGTCGTTTGCTGAATCCTCTAGTTCTTGTGAGTTCGTCTGTTCATGGATATCCTCTCCTTTTCGTCTCTCAATACTAAATCTTTGTTTTCCTGGAGGTCTGTTTATAGGTGCTAGCTCCACTTGCGCAGTTCTGCATTTCGCGACAACCATGGTAGGGAACAGAGCCCCTTCGATGGCTTCAAGCACAAAGGTATGCAACCATACGTTGTAGGTTTTTTGTTTTTCAATTCACTTGTTAAAACTTTAAACAAGAAAAGGAAACCACTTTCTGCTTCTTCAGTCTCCCAGTCGTTTTATTTTACCAATGATTTTCAACATTTTATAGGTTCGAAAATTTGGGGAAGCTTCCGTTGGCACAGTGGTAGAGTCGGCGAGGAAAGTCCCAACCGGACCCGACCCTCTTCATCACAACAAGAATCCCACTGGCCCTTGTGCTGATATCTCCTCTGTTAGAGGATAGGATTTTAACTTGGATGCTTTCTAACCCGAGTTGCAATCCCCTGCTTCTGTATGATCGATGCTTAGATCCCTTTCAACAATCTATATACTTTGCATTCACCGTATTATTAGTGACTCCAAAATCCCGAGAGCCAGCTATATGTTTCCAATATAATATGCTTGGCTAGTTCGGTTTGTTCGTGATTTGAAATTTTGCATTGGGTTTTGTCTTCTTCTGTGTCATTCAGGGACAAGAAAACAGTAATCACTCTGCCCTTTGTTTTCTTTTTCTTTCTGGATTTGGGACTGCAATGTCATTGTGGTGGTCTGGAGGGGATGTTGAGAGGCGAGGTGACGAGGACCTTATTGATCTCTGCTAGCTGCTGTTTAGTGGAAGGAACGGACGCATTTTCGCACGATCTCAGAGTCGCAGTGTGTCCGGGGGAGGGAGAGAGCGAGAGATTTTCAATTTTTGCCCAGAGGCAGCCTCGTATCCTCGGAAACAGCACACGTCTTGCTACGTGGGATTCATATTTTTGATATTGTTGATGAAGGTTTAGCTCAACCATGGACGGGTGTGAACTAGCCCGCCAAGTAATTTGCGATCAATTTTAGGCATCTTATTTATTTTTTATTAAGAAAATCATTTCGCGCGCGCACTAAGAAGTAGCTGATAAATATCCATAACCAGGATTTAAGTTTCAAAAATCTCATTTTCACAGCGGAAAAAATATCTTAGTTCTACAGTATTTGCTACTCCGTTGAAGATCTCAACACTTGGATAGTTGGGTCTTCAAAACAAATTCTCCCTGGCCTGTTTTTATCACAAGAGATGGAAACAAACGAGTTACCAAAATATTTTCCCTTTCGCGATTACCGAGGGAGCTCCTTTGCGCCACTTACATCAAATGCACCAAGAAAAGCAAAGCCCAAAACACGTATAACATAATCATCACTTAGTAGATGCTGATCATTCCAAGCTCCAATAAGTGGGGAAGGGAAAGATGGAAAAGATCATTAGAAAAACAAAAGAGTGTTTGGGTGATTACCCAAACCATGGTTTGGAAACAAAAATTACCCAAACACACATCTAAAATCAGTAACTATGGTCTTGGCTTAAAAGCTCTGGTTTTGTTAGAAGCGTTTTTTGAATCTGCTTATGAGAAAAGAATGGGAGAGTGTCAAATGGTTTGTCAATGAATATGAGATTTGTCTTTTTGACCAGACACATATACCCCTCAATCATTCATTTCTCTTCCGCCTTCGCTCCACTTAGAATCCATTCCTATATTTATATTACTATCTTTACTCTTATATTTTATAAATATATATCCAAAAAAAATTAATTACTATTTCTACTCTTATATTTTATAAATACATATATATACACATAGTAACAATTAATTATATTATATTAAAGATCGAAGATAGTATGTTGTTACAAAAACTAATTGTGAAAAAATGTTATGGGATAAATTAATATTTTTCTGTTAGCGAAAAAAATTTATTTTTCTATAAACATATTTAATTTTATATTTTATAAATATATATATACACATTAATTGTTTATTAATTACATTTTCTTATATATTATTAATTATGTTGGTAAAAAAATATATTATTACCAATTTTATTCCTTCAAATTAAAATATACTATAAAATTCATCTTTTATGTAATTATCATATTAATTTATGCCTTTTTGAGTAACTTACATATATAAAAAGTACTTTTGATAACAACTATCCAGACACTCTTACTTTGTCAGAATCATTTTTTTACAAAATCTATTATTCTCAAAATCTATTTTTCAAATCATAATTGGTTTCATCCAAACACCCCTGAGCAGTATATGTATACGTGGGAAGAGACGTATCCCAAGGGTCATCCTGTGTTCTATTCTAATCCCAACTTCTGTTCTGTATGTATTTTGTCCCTCAGTTTTTCCCGTATAGGTTCATTTCATCCTGACATAACCTGAACAGAAACGAAACAATTAGGATGAGTTCTTATGCATAGCTTTAGAAGGGTTATGGTTTTTTTCTGCGTCCTTTTCATTCCACGTACGGTCTATATGAAATGGACTACGCATTTGACAAAAAATTATATGTTTTTGAAAAAAAACGATATTCGAATTAAAAATACAGGATGTAATCAATTGTACGTCTCTATTCCGAAAATAAAAATATTAAATATATTTCTTCTTTTTCCAAGAGATTTTGAAAAATGCATATCATAAATTACATATGTAGAGAAATGTTGGATAATTAACATGAGTCTCACATGCTACGAAGAGTCAAAATTAAAATTTAAAGCACTTGCAAATTATACATTGTAGTAGTATAAATATATTAAGGACCTCTGGGGTTGCATGGGCAAAATGATCACAGATGCCATGGGATTTGCATTGGGTGCTCATCAGGTGATGAGCACCCAATGCTCATCACCCATCTGGACCGTCCAGATCTAATCTGGACGGTCCAGATTTATTTTTATTTTTATTTTTATTTTTTTAAAAATAATTATTTTAATAGGTATAAGATAAAAAATAAAGATAATCTCATAACTATCATTTTTTAAAAATATAATTTTTTCTATTTTAAAATAATTATTTGATAATATTAAATCTGGACCGTCCAAATTAAATCTGGACGGTCCAGATTGCTCATCAGGTGATGAGCACTGGGTGCTCATCACCTGATGAGCACCAAATGGGAACCCGATGCCATGCCCAAACGCGATTCTAAAACCCAACACCCTCCAAAAGCACTGTTGAACGTGGCAATCCGAAATATCCTCCTAAACACACAGTTTGATCAATCTGAATACTTCATTAATGATCAAAATGGATTACACTTTCGGGCCTACCGAGACCCATTATATATACAAGTCATAGTGACAAATCAAATTACACTCAGATACGCAACTAGGAACTAATCCTCATGGGCTACATACATTCGGGCCCATCACACTAATTTGGGCCTACAAACTAAACAGGAAAATACAACAAACGAATCAAATATTTCAACACTCCCCCTCAAGTTTGGGGCTTAAAACATCCACAGCACCTAACTTGCTCAGAAGATTTCTCTGCACATTGCCTCCAACAGCCTTTGTGAGCAAATCTACCTGTTGATCATTGCTTCTGACATGAAGCAGATCAATAAGCTTTGACTGCCATTTCTCTCTAACAAAATGACAGTCCACTTCTATATGCTTTGTACGTTCATGAAAAACTGGGTTAGCTGCAATATGTATTGCAACTTTGCTGTCACAATACACCTTCACTGGATCATTGTGAGTTATTCCCAAATCTTTCAGCAAACTGAGGGCCCATACCACTTCTGAAATGGCCATACTTAAAGCCCTATATTCTGCCTCAGCAGAGGACTTAGAAACAGTGTTTTGTTTCTTTGTTTTCCACATTACAAGTGAGCCTCCCAACTTCAACAAGTAACCCGAAACAGACCTTCTTGACATTGCACATGATGCCCAATCTGAATCACAATAACACTCTAATTCTGGTTTCCCTTTAGAACTGATGAAAATTCCCAAGCCAGGAGTCCCTTTTAGATAGCGCAGAACACCTCTTGCTGCAGCCATATGAGCCTTGGTTGGCATTTGCATGAATTGACTCAACGTCTGCACAGAATAAGATATATCAGGTCTGGTCATAGTTAGATATATCAACTTACCCACCAAGCGTCTGTATTTTTCAGGTTCCTGTAATAGATCCTCCTTCTTGTTCCTCTTTTCATCATAGGGAAACAGCTTCAGACTTTGTGCCATTGGGACTCCCAAGGGCTTACAACCTGTCATACCAGTCTCAAACAGCAAATCTAGAACATATTTCCTTTGTGACAAAATAATTCCTTTTTCAGATTTAGCAAATTCTATCCCAAGGAAATATTTCATTAAACCAAGATCCTTAATCTTAAAATGTCTGTGCAAAAAATCCTTAGTTTTACTAATGCCAAATTCTGTACTCCCAGTTATCAATAAGTCATCCACATATACTAGAATAAGTACAACCCCATCATCATAATGTTTAATAAAGAGAGAATAATCTGATTTACTTTGAGTAAAACCTCCTTTCTGCAATGATTCAGACAGCTTTTGATTCCACTGTCTTGAAGCCTGTTTTAAACCATAAAGAGATTTATTCAATTTGCAAACCATTTGCTCCCCCTTTCTCTCAAAACCCTGAGGTATTTTCATATAAACTTCCTCATCTAAATCTCCCTGTAAAAAAGCGTTATGAACATCCATTTGATATATACTCCATTTATTCACAGCTGCTAATTTTAGAACCACTCTAACAGTAAACATTTTTACAACAGGGGAAAAGGTCTCATGGTAATCAATCCCTTCCTTTTGACTATAGCCTTTAGCCACTAATCTAGCCTTATACTTTTCTATGCTACCATCAGCATTATACTTGATTTTATACACCCATTTGCAACCAATGGGGCTTTTTCCTTTAGGTAAAGGCACTATGGTCCAAGTTCCATTATTTTCTAAAGCATTCATTTCAGCCTGCATGGCCTTAACCCAATCTGGATTTTGAACAGCTTCTTGATAACATGATGGTTCATTATTTGAATCAAGGGAGGTTAAAAAACACATGTGATCGGGAGACATTGAGGCATAAGATAAGTAATCATCAATAGGATATTTGCAGTTACTCTTAACAGGTCTGTCCGAATCAAATTGTAATAAAGAACAAACATAATCATTAGCCCAAATGGGGGGCTTTCTAGTACGTGTGGTCCTATGAGTATAAATTCCATTTCTGTTGTGCACATTATCATCATTAACATCGTTATTACCTTCACTGATTTCTTCATTGGACATTCTATTTCCAACTAATTCATCACTACTATTATCTAATCGGGGTTCTTTAACCGATTCTGAATTCTGTTTCTCAAAAATATCTGATTCAAACCAAAACATAGATCTAATGTCATTACTCAAGCCATTTTGAAAGTTTTCTTTAACATCCCTGAAAGGGAATTTATCTTCAACGAAATTCACATGCCTACTTACAAAAAAATTGTTTTCCTTTAGATTAAGAAGGAGAAAACCCTTCTGGTTATCAGGATATCCTAGGAATATGCTAGGAATTGACCTAGGCTGTAATTTATCACTGGTCCTTAAGTCAGTCGCATAGGCAAGGGATCCAAAGGTTCTTAGATTGCTTAAATCCGGTTTAGTACCATAGACTCTTTCATAAGGTGTCTGGTACTCAAGTATCCTAGATGGGACCCTATTAAGAATGAAAACAGCCATCTTGACACACTCTCCCCAATACTTGATAGGTATTCCAGATTGAAGAATGAGACTCCTAGTAATCTGCATAATAGTTCTATGTTTCCTTTCCACTACCCCATTTTGTTCTGGAGTATAAGGACAACTAGTTTGATGGACTATACCCCTTTGCTGGAAATAAGTTTTTAACTGACTGTTGGTAAATTCAGTGTCATTATCACTCCTAATCTTTTTCACAGTGACAGAAAACTGTGTTGAAATGTAGGAAATGAAATTTCGAATATGTGATTCTGTTTCACTCTTATGTCTCATTAAAAATATCCAAGTCCCCCTCGAAAAATCATCAACTAAGGTTAAAAAGAATTGAAAACCCTGATGTGTGGGGTTTCTATATGGGCCCCAAACATCAGCATGAATTAAATCAAAACACTTTTTAGACTTGATAACACTAGAGTTAAAGGGAAATTTAGTTTGTTTGGATCGAATGCAAATATCACAAGAATGAGGACTTTTATTCAGAACAGAATTGTCAGTACATATAGAATCCAGATGCTTTATCACAGACAAAGGTGCATGTCCTAGCCTTCTATGCCATAACAGTATATCACAATCTTTCCTGGAAATTTTCTCATTTTGAATTACATTGACTGAAACAGGGGTATTGTTGGTGACTTTTAGCACATATAATCCCTTATACTCTCTACCAGTCAGCCTGATCCTCCCATCCTGAAGGCCCTGCAGTATACAGAGATCAGGAAAGAAGGCTGCCATACAATTATTTTCTTTTGTAAATCTAGATATGGATATGAGATTAAATGCTAAGCGAGGAGCATAAAGAACATTATGAATAACAACATTGTCCGCAACTGTGATAGAACCAGTGTGTGTAACAGAAAGTCTATCCCCATTTGGTATCTTAATTGAATTAATCGGTTCATTATACAACTCACAATCATCAAACAATTCAAGTTTTCCAACCATATGAGTAGTAGCACCTGAATCTAGAATCCAGTGTGTGTGAATTTCAACATTATGAGCAGCAGAGGTCAAACCTGTACCGGTTAAAGCGTGGACCGTAGGCTCAGTCTCCTTTTTCAACAATTCCAGGATCTTCTCATACTGGTCTTGTGTGAATGTTGGGGCAACCGTGGTTACTGCGTGCCCTTGAGGGTCAACATCTTTGAAATAATCAGCTCCCTTTGGCTGAGAATCCCCTTGTTGTCTTCCTTTGTTCCCCTTGAAGCCTGGTGGATATCCCACGAGCTGGAAACAATTTTCTCTGAGGTGTCCCTTCTTGTGACAGTGTGTACACTCCAGTGTACTATCTCCTCTCCCGCGTCCTCGGCCACGCCCCCTTCCCCTTGCAGCCATTGCAAGGCCTTCGGTGGGAACGTTCTTATCACGGTAAGACAGGATGCGTTGGGTTTCATCCTGGACGATCAGTGAGTATGCCTTGTTAACGGATGGGAGAGGGAACATCATCAAAATTTGACCGCGGGCTTGAGAAAAATTCTCGTTGAGCCCCATCAGAAACTGTAATAGTTTCTGTTCTTGAACGGCGTCGGAATAGGCTTTGGCAGTCGAGCAATTACAGGACGGGATAGCGATGAGAGCGGCCTGCTCTTCCCACAACTCTTTCAATTTGGAGAAATAAGCGGTGACAGAATTCGAACCTTGACGGAGCGAGTGAATTTCCCGGTGTAATGCGAAAATTCTTGAGCCACTCTTCTTGTCAAACCGCTCCTTCAGTTCGACCCACACTCCGTGCGCATCCTGAAAGTAGATAATCCCACTGGCGAGTTCCTTGGATATCGAATTAATCAGCCAGGAGAGGACAACAGCGTTGCATCTCTCCCATTGTGGCCAGAGACTCGTTTCTTGGTCGCTTTTCTTGCAAGAACCATCGACGAAACCCAGCTTTTGCTTGCCGAGAAGTGCGATTTTCATTGCGCGGGACCATACTGTGTAATTTTCAGTACCGGTGAGGACGTGTGGGATGATTGCCGTCCCCTGCGTGTCAGACGGATGCAAAAACAGGGGGTGCGAAAACGGGATACTCTCGGGCGTGACCTTCTCTTCACCCATGGTTCTTACAGTGGAGGATTAGGGTTTCTCTGCGCGATTCTTGGCAGACCGTCGTCGAGGAGCTTTTCTCAGCATCACTTAAACGGCGACGTTTGGCTCTGATGCCATGTTGAACGTGGCAATCCGAAATATCCTCCTAAACACACAGTTTGATCAATCTGAATACTTCATTAATGATCAAAATGGATTACACTTTCGGGCCTACCGAGACCCATTATATATACAAGTCATAGTGACAAATCAAATTACACTCAGATACGCAACTAGGAACTAATCCTCATGGGCTACATACATTCGGGCCCATCACACTAATTTGGGCCTACAAACTAAACAGGAAAATACAACAAACGAATCAAATATTTCAACAAGCACGTATAAATAAGTTACTCCACAAATTGAGATAAACTATTCTGTATATTTATTTATTTATTTAGTATATTATAAAAATATTTTTAAAATTATAGTGTTGTTTCTGTCTAAATACCTAGAAGCACATAAATAAATTACTCCAATAATGAAACAGGACGTTTTGATTTTTATGATTTGTTCATCATGTGATGCTTTAGTTGGATACGTGGCCTTCTCACTTTCGCGAGCGGTCAGTGGAGTGAGTGTGAAAACAATAAACATCCAGTGATAGTGAGAGAGAGGAATATCTGTCCACCCGCAAACAGCCGAACTAAAAATATCTCTGGAATCTTCTCGGCTTTTTCCCGCCGGGTCTAACCAAAATATCTCAATCCCTTCCCTCCTATAAATATCAAACCACTTTTCCGCTTCCACGCGCCCAACTCTTGCTCCTGATTGCGACCTCGCTCCCATGTCTTCTTCAACCGCCCCCGCCACCACTAGCGACTCCTCTGACCACCTTCACACGCCTACATTAGACCGCGAGTCTTCCGCTCTCCTCCACTCCATTTCCGAGCATGGAGGCTATGCTTACGTCAGCATGGCCTCCCTCGCCATCCTCGGCGACTTCCGGGCCGCCGAAGCTGCCCGTGAAATGGCCTGGGAGCAGCTGCATTCGGGGCCTCGCCACTCGGTCCTCCCAGTTTGGCGCGACGCCTACTCTATGGCGTGCCTTCACGTTGCGAAGCACCATTACATCAACGGCCAATTCAAGGAGGCTCTTAGGGCTTTGGACATGGGACTGATCATGGGGGGATCGCTTCTAAAGAAAGACTTGAGCTCTGTTGTTGACAAAGTATCGGAGAGGTTCAAGAACATTCGTGCTTCCAAAGAAACCCGCGAAGGCTTTAGGATGTCGGAACATCGACTTGTCAGTAATGAACTTAACCAGGTCGAGGTGAGGCCACACCATCCTTGTCTCCGATGGATGTGTTTCGTACACTGTTCAGCTAAAAATAGAAATGGCCATTTTTACTCGCTGCATGGATCATTTGAAGTCTTTGATACTGAAGTTCGGCGAGGAAATGAGCCAAGGAGCACAAGTAGAAGTGTTTATGGGGCTCACTTCCTCTTTCTTCTCCCATTCAAACTATTATTACTTATCTCTTCGATCTCTATAAGAATTTTACCATCAAGAACTCTAGAAAATCCTTACTCGGCAGTCAGTGCTGTAGGAGCCAATGATTTGGGTAGTTTTGCAGAGCAAATCTGGTTCTGTCATCGTACATAAGAAAATGAAAGCGTGCTATTTGCAACCGTCGAATTCCATGCTGTTCTATTGATATTGAAACTGCAAGTTCTTCTGTTTGCTTTACTGTGCTTATGAAGCTAGATCTGATTGATGTATTTATTTCCAAATGTTTGTCACCCTTCTGATGTTTATATTATAGCTTCCATGCTTGTAGGTGCACAAACTTCTACCCTCCAACTCTCTTTCTTACAAAATCGTGGAGAAGAGGTCTGCTCTGTCATTGGAAAGTTTCCTAGAAGATTATTACCGGTCTGGCTATCCGATTATCATCAGTGATTGTATGGCTCACTGGCCCGCCAAGACAAAATGGAATGACATAGATTATTTGCAAAAAGTTGCTGGTGATCGCACAATTCCAGTTGAGGTAATTTCTCTAATTATATGATCGAGTAAGCTGTTTGAGGGAAAATCTTGTTTGAAACATTTTCTTTGCAGCGAATTGGTCCTCCAAGAGATTTTTATATTAACTGATTACAGCAATCTGGAAATTCGACTCATCTTAGAGGGAGATTTCGTTGTCCATTTATTTGGTTTACACTTGATTAGAATTTAATAGACTTGGATTTCAAGATTGCTTTCTGGATATTCGGCTTGCTCGTTAAATCTGCACCGACGAAATGTGATGCATGTTAAGATTATATTGGCAACTTAATATAACCATAATAGGAATGAATATAACGTAAATCGACTCGCACACAGAGGAAGGGGAGAGAACCTCATTTATTTATATTATATCTGTTGCCATTGATTGTAGTGATAAAATTTAGCATGCTTTGCAGGTGGGAAAGAGCTATTTACGTGCGGAGGGGAAGCATGAGTTGGTTACATTTTCTGAGTTTCTTCAGCGTATGGAGTCCCATGGCTGCTCTTCTGCCGGGCCTACATATCTTGCTCAGTATCCGCTATTTGATCAGGTGTCTACTATCTATAATTTTTGAAGTTTGATACATAAGATTAGAAGTCAAACTGCTTATTTTATTCGCCAATGTTAATTGCATTGCAGATAAATGAGCTTCGGAAAGATATTTGTATTCCTGACTACTGTCTTGCTGGTGGCGGGGAGCTAAGATCTCTCAATGCATGGTTTGGTCCTGCTGGGATGGTAACACCGTTACACCATGATCCACACCATAATATTCTGGCTCAGGTGAGTCAATTGTAGTACTCTGGAGTCTGGATTGAACAATTACAGCAAAAAGCTGTATTTGGTATTCTTTCACCTTTCATTTTAAAACATACTGGTTTTTATGGTCTTATTTCTCCTTTTTTTTTAATAGCATATATGCTCAGCTTATTAAAACTGAGAACGACTTCTCCAACATTAGGAATACTATGTAGCATTAATGTGCTTCTTTTTAATTCTTCTTCGCTTGATTACCTCTAGATTATAATCCTAATTATAGGCTCCTAAAAATTATGCGCAACATGGATAGCACACTTCAAGTTTGGCAAAGTATTAAGTTTTGATCTGGTGTGGTGTGATCTTGAATGAGTCAGTTCAATATATTTGGACGGCATTGGTGTTTCTATTATTTCCTTGTAACCAAATGTAACATTATTACAGCACATCCTTAAGACTATTTTCTAAGTGGAACAATTTTTGAGCCACATATGCAACTGATACGTAAAATGTTATTGTGTGTACTTATAAATATGCTTTTTTAATCACAAGACACTCCATTGGATGCATTCCTATTTGACCTTTTCTTCCTGGATGCTGCCAAATTCATACACCTAACATCTTCTGCAGTATACTTGGCTGAAAGTTTCTAGTTTTGTTGTACTTTCAGGTTGTTGGGAAGAACTATGTAAGGCTTTACCCTCCATCTCTGTCTAGGGAACTTTACCATTACACTGAAACACTGCTTATGAATTCCAGACAGGTATTTAGTTTTTTTTGTCCTTTTTGCTTTGGTTAATGTGAATTATTAACCTCCTGGGCGTGGTGCTTATGCCTTTGCATACTATCATTACCGTATAGCACTCTGATTGGCCATGAAGCTCTGGAATTTTCTTCTCTTTTCTCTGTCATTTCCCTCATGTTTGCTGAAAGTGTTTCTATCTCACTATCTATATCTAGGATTGCATGTTTCCACAGCTTTTCTTTTCATCCTTGCAGCCAAGTTGATTCACATCTCACTCAGAACTTTTGACTTGAAATCAAGTGGTTCCCTTATTAGGTGTTTTATTAGAATTAATTGATGATTACGAAATAGATTTTTTTCCGGCTAATTTAGAACTTAACTGTTGACTTCTAAATTATATGAGAATTCTTGGGAGTAGCGTTTGGGGTTTTGTTCTGTTTTACATTGTATGGGGTGTGGAACAGAATGTGGTCAAGCGTAGTAGCCTACCCATCAGCGACAAACATATATGAAGTTTTCTATTCGGGAAAATATAAATTTGGGTGAATCAGGCAGAGTGGTTGAATGTGGTATGCTTCCTTCTGTTTGACGTGTGTATGCCCTTGGCTCTATAGATGTTCGTGTGTGTCTGCTTTTTATCTCTCTCTTTGAAATACTTGCATCCGTTTTGATTGGAGGCCTCTTTATGTTTGAAGATTGATCTAGATAAGGTGGATGAAAAGATGTTTCCTGGGCTGCAAGACTTGGAATTCGTCGACTGTATATTAGAAGAGGGAGAATTGCTATATATCCCACAAAGATGGTGGCGCCATGTCCGCTCTCTAACTACAGGTTTCTCCGTTAGTTTTTGTTGGAGCGAGGCCGAAGGTTCAGCTACACCCTAATATTTCATCGCTCATGCCATCGTGCCTACTATTTTTTCCTTTAACTTTGAAAATGAAAAAGGAAAAGTCTAAAATGGAGGAGGGAGCATATGCCTCAATTGCGTTGCTGACATAACCTATCAATGCCCACTGCTCATTTTGTATCGCAATGACAGCATAATCCTCGGGTACATAAGATTTCTTTTGGCTATTGCTGATAATCACATTCCCTGTCTAAAGGCAAGGTTGTGCGCGCGCGCGTGTAGAGAAAGAGAGAGAGAGAGAGCTTGACTGTGGATCATGCGGGTAAAAGAAGGCTCTATTGGGGAGGGTCTGCATAAAACCTTGTACGCGGGAAACCAAAAGTGGGGCATCGTGAACTGAGTTGCGAAACCAGCTAAAATCATGTTTCTGATCATAAATTTATAGTCCAGTCTTTGCGCCACCTTGTCTTTATATTGTCTACTTCCCGAGCTGTACATGCTTACGACCAATCGTTAAGAGGGAGAAGGGGGCGGGGGGGAAGTCTCATTGCGAAACTACCGTGAACAGAGTCGCGGACCAAGCCGAGTCCCATTGCGAGGCAACATCTCCACAACGTACGAGGTTTTTGTTTATTTTCCTGGCCAGCACAACGTGCTAGGTTAACTGTGTTAATCGTAATGTAAACTTCCTTTCGCTCACGTGCCTACATAGGATTTCGATTAGACTGAGATAATTTGTTAATCCATTACCAGATTTGAACATGCGTGCCTCTGATAAACAAATGTATGCCTCTGCAATTATTTGAATGAGACGGTTCATTCGAAGGAGCGTGCGGGGGGTGCTAGCAAACATTGTTACACGTGTATGCTCATGATACGGTATCTTCTACATCATGACCTGCGCTCTTCTGCCCTGCTCAATGATAAGCATCATTAATTGAAGTGGCCGACTGAGATGATGAGTATGATCTGATGCAAATTATGCCGTTGCTAGTTACGGACCTTATAAGGAGAAAGACCAAGAATGTGATTTTTCTTTCTTTTTTTTTTAAAAAAAGAAAGTGATAGGAGAGTAAAAGAAAATGTAGTGAGGTTACGCTGCAGATTTGTACCTGCAAAGAACTTTACACTTTAATACCCTGTCTTGAACGTAAAACCCCGGCATCACCATGAGCTTAACCCTGCTTGGACATTGCGACCTGTGCCTATTATCCACGAGCATATCTTCCATGTAATGAGGATCAAAGCTTGTATTCTCCTGAACCCTTAAAATTGCCAGAGGCGGGTCAAAGGAAAACGCCAGCAAATGGAGCAACCACATGCATTTAGCTGCCACAAAGAAAGCTTGAAGTAGCTCTTCAGGCCAAGCTCTCGTCCAATTCAAGGTGGTTATGATGCTGCTCATCTTCTGGTCGCAGAACTTGCCAAAGTCTTCACTATAATATCTGGTCCCCTTTCTCAACACTTCATTCCAGCTCAAATTCCTGAGTGCTACAAAAGATGAGAACTGCGCTTGGCGATCCTGTTGCAGGTCCAATAATCTTGGAGCCCCGTTCTTTTGAAACACGCAGTTCTCGTAGTCTTGGAAAAGACACTGATTTATGAGAGCTTCGAAATGGTATAATACCGCCTTTGAATACTTGTAATTCAGAGACCTTATAAGGTTGAAGAAGCACATTTAAGTTGTTCATCAGGAACTGATCGCTTTCATCGATCTGGCTTACTATGGCCTTGCAAAATTGCCTTACTGATAATCTTGATTGTGACACAATATGCAAGAAGCCCTCCACCAAATCTTCTCCGTTTGCGTTAAATGATCTTCCTCTTTTGGGAAGATTACTAAGCTTCTCGTGAACCTGAGAATCCTTTGCATGCGTTGCTTGTCTCAGAGCTTTCTTCAGATCCTCGCAGTAGCTCTCCAGATACTCAAGCTTTTGTCTGAGCTCCCCCAATGAGGATTTCATCTCAGACACTTCCATTAATGCCGCATCTTTGTTCTCATTTGCTTCGGTGAGCTCCCTCTTCAATGTCTCGATGGACATTATTCCCAGATCTTTAAGAACCTGAGAAACTTCCTCAGACTCCGTTCTGTGTGGAGAATTCTCATTCTTGTGCTTCTTCTTTAGCCGAGGAAACAGCCATGACATCACCCCCTTACCTTTAGGTTGTGATCGAATAGATGTGTGAGAATCCGTGAGGGGAACAACAATATTGGAGCTCTTCCTATTCCTTGTAGCGTCATATTCACTTGTTACGGTCGCAGGCTTACATTTATTGCAGGAAGACTCAGACCCGATGTCCTCCAGACTGTTTCTTCTTCTGGACCTGAAGTAGTCGTTGGCGGGTGACGTTTGAAGAACATTGATGTGGTTTGCACTAGAACCAGTAACAGATTTGGTATCATCGGCGGGACACATATGAGATTCCACTTCCCAATTCAGAAGTCCAGAAGTTTGTCCCTTTCCTGAAGCTGATTTCTGCTTGTAATCTGGCAGAACAGTTTCTTTGAAGTTTCTTCCTTCCAATACATTCTCGTCCCAACTCTCTGATATTATTCGGCTTTTCACCGAGTTTTGGCGATACCCTGGTAGTGGGTTTTCTTCACAGCTCTGTCAATGATTCTTAAATTTAGAAACAAACACTCATTCAAAAGAAAAACAGAATCTTTAAAGAAAAGATAGAGAACACCCTAATAGAAACTAAACATCACAGTTGTAAGCCTGGCCTATTTTTGCTGGTCAAAAAGACTTGGCTGATCTTATAAGCGCCGTGATGTAACACACCAAATTAAAGCAAGAGTTATCAAAAAGAAGGAAGTCAAAGACAGAAATGCTTTTATGCATCCAGCTTGTTCAAGTTCAAGAACAAGAGAAGTGTTAGAAGCAGTTGTGGGAAAGGATATCAGTGATGAGGCTTGGAAGAAGGCTTAGAATGGAAACAAACACAAGAACGGTGTGAAATGTCAAACAAAGCAGTAGTGTCGACATGACCTGAGAATTAAAATTGAGGAATGAAGGAAAAATGATTGCTTACAGGAGTGAAAACAGGGTAATCTTGAGCAGAAAACTGAGAAGCAGAGCGTGAAGGAGGCGCAGGAGACGGGAGTCTAGGATTGGCAGGGCTGCTCCCTTGTAATAAAGCAGCATGAAGAGCTCTTAGCTCCACAGCTTTGGATATGGCACTTTGAATTTCCTGCCTACTTATTTCAGAGGTGCCATTCTCTGTGTCGTGAAAAAACTGGGAAGAAGGAGCAGCCGCAGCCATGAAACACAAAGCAGATGGAGGGGGAGTGGATTTGGATGAGTGAGTTGCAGAGAAGACGATATCTATGGCAGCATGTGGGGCAACCAGAGAACGGAACAAGAGACTGATAGAGGCGTCTCAAATCCAATGAGTTTTGTCCTTGTTCTCATGATAAAATGGATGGAATGGGGAAGGCATGTGAAGAAGAGAAAGACAAAGACTGGGGGAGAGAGAAAGAGAGTAAATTGCAGTGTTCATATATGAGCGTTAGCTGTTAAGTGTGAGGGCAGTTTGGGAATACAACGACAAATTTGAAAATTTACCGGAAAGCAACTTTAGGTGGTGGTACCACTGTGCACATGATTGTTTTAGTGCCAACGTTACCAGTTCCATGCCCACTAACTTCCACCACCAAATCTATCTCTGCTTATCTTTCATCCTTTCGCCCTTTCCTATTAGGTTTTCCCCTCCTTCTTGCCAACAAACAGCGGAACAGAGAGATCAGATTCTTGAGAAGATGAAGAAGGGAGATGCAGAGGGAGAGAGAAAGAGAGATGTGGGACGGCGCATCAGATTTTTTTTCAGGTTCCTCATTATGTGCTAATCTATCAAAATGAATTTTTATTTCTTCCCGATTTTCTTCGGGTCACTCTCACGTATAAAGTTTTTCTTGCCTCATATCTCCCATAACAGAACAAGCTACATTGTTTATATATTTAGAATTAATTTTTTCTGTATTTGATTTTATTATTTTGTTTAGCAAAAATTTTAAATATATAGAGAAAGTTATGGTGTGGTCACAGTGCTATTTTTAATGAAATCTTCATCTATTATGGTATTATCACAGTGACAATTAGATATGTTATAAATTTATTATATATATTACTACATATGTAAATTCTCATTTTTATTAAATTATTAGGTTACCGGTTGAACTATGAAAACCAAAACTCGTTGACTTTTCCGATTTGATCTGACTTTTGCAACGTCGCCTTGCTTTAACACTTCACCCAGAAACTCCTATGTCATTTCAGAAACAGATGACTTCATGAGCTCATAAATAATCATCGTCTTCTTCTTAAAATACTCAAAATGGTTATGTTAACAGGACTGAGAATAAAACTGTGTGTTGCATTCACCATGGCATCGTCCTATAACCATGATGAGTGGTTTGGAAAAAACGTGCAGTTTCTAGTTTAGTGGAGGAAGGAAAACATGGTCCTGTTATGTTACAGCTGATGAAACTTAATGAAACTCTTCATGTTCAATCCCCTCCAAGTCTCATTCCTACGCTTCCATCACTTCCTCCCTTTCTCATTTTGTTGGCATCTGAATTTAAAACCCACCCTATCAAATTACCGAAGCTTTATCTTTCTGTGAAAGGACGTATCTCAATATTTCAAATTCATATGGTCGACCTCACACTGGACAATTTCAAAGCGTTTAGCTCCTATAAGCTGATAATGTACCGCAAATTCAGCGTCTTCACTTCGTTGTTTTCTTCTGAAAGCCTTCAATTATGGGAAAAGGCATACGAAGGTGCAAGTTTTTCGCCCCACAGAGGAAAAATTATTTCATAACCTTCCCAACACTCTCCACACCGTGAATCTTACAAGAAAGTGACACAGTGGGGCATTTCGAGCAACTTCATATCACTAGTAGAAAACGTAATTTCTACTTATAAAATGTTTATTATATTAAGTTATTTCAGAAAATGTAAAAATATTTTTTTGGTAATTAATAATGGGTGGTGGAATGCCGAGTAGGACGGGGGAATTGTTTAAAAAGGTGACTTTTCAGGGCCAAACACGTTCAAAAGTTAGTAAGATTTGTCAACCACCACATGGAAAAAGCCTCTTTTCTTGCTCAATTAACATTAGCTCACAGTGCCGGAATAAAAGTGTGATATTATCTACACTTACAAATACACGGATGAAACACGTTGCCAAGTAGATGGTAAAAAATCAATTGAAAGAATAATGTCTCAGAGAATAGAGGTAGGTATTTTAGCAATATGACACAGCCCAGGCGCATTTGGTGGATGAAGTGGTTGGGATTTTGGCATGTTTTTAGTCTTCTTCTAACCAACCAAGGATTTTCTGTTCCTACCTAAAACAAAACAGGATTGGCTTCTTCCGGTAATAAAGGCCGAATCATTCAGCAAGAAGCCGTTCCGTGGAAAATTCTTCATCGCCATAAGTTTTGTATTGATTTCTCCTTATGTGCGTTAAGGGCCATCCAATGGAAGCAATTAATTAGGCGGGGAAGGTAGCTTTTTGTTGTTTACTAATTGACTTCATTAGACACGCAGGGAAAGAAAAAAGAATGCTTCGTGATAAGATAAGCGAGGGCAAGCCTGTCATCCACCTGAGGGCATTCAAAGCTGAGGAGGCAATACTTACACTACTAAGCCCTCGACTTATCTTAATTATTAAAATCAAGGAGACAGCTTTATCACAATCATTGCTTTTTCATGCCTTGTGTTGTAAGGAAATTCTGCTTCATCAAAGACACAGAGAGAGACACAAATATGGGACCTCTCATGTCATGCTTGTCAGTTTCAGCCATTAAACAAATGCCACACTAGATTTCTTACAATAACACCTTCCTTGGAAATCTTATTTGCTGCTTAGCCCAAACCCAATTTGAAATCCAACAACGAATTTTGCCCCCGCTTCGTGTGGGTCTGTCGTTTTCACTGTCAGGCCAGGAAGTCATTAGGCTATGGTGTCTCTTTCTGAGCATCAAAAGGACTAAGAATAAAACAGGAAACAGTAAAGAAACCAAGGAGGCCAAAAGTACAATCACCTCCTCGGCAAAAGCAGATTCTCTTTCCACAGCAGGATGACAATAACATGTAATGTAACCTTTATCGGATCTCCACAATCATACTGCAAACTTTACGGGGTTTCTATTTGCGTTATACTTCAGTGGACTCACCCTCCTCCTTCTATCGCGTTTTCGGTTTTGTTCTGTTTTGCCTGTTTGTGTTCTTGTAAGACCAGATTCCCCCATTTAAATTATAGCCTGATTAATTTAAGATCACTCCACAGGTTTATTGATTTTAATTTTAAATGATTATGTGCCTTTTGATTCTATGGTTTTACTTAACTTTGCCTTTCGCTGGTTTTCTCTGGGGGGCTCTTGATGCTACTTGCAAACAACAACGTAAGGAAACGGTGCAGTGGAGGGAGGGAATTACCTTTGTTTTCTACGTATTCATAGTTTCCATTAACCTTTGGGGCCTCTCAGGCAACCAATGAGGATTCCAAAAGGAAAAGCCATTAACTCGTGGATTGGACAGAGAGCAGACGAAACAGATAAGAGGCCGCTAAAATTAATTACGTGATATAAACCTGACCCAGCCGATAATATAATTGCTGCTTAATTCATGTACGAGAACCTCTACGAGGAACACAGTTGAAAGTCTGGATTATGAACCCGATGAATTATTAATCTCAGAAAAGTGAGAAGGATTTTGTTTGTGTGGAGGTGAGAAGGGGGGCGTCGGGATTGGATATATGTAATTAATGGAGCAATTGACTAATCATACAGTGATGCAGGAAGAGGGGGCCATCCTTGTCTGTAACATGAGGCCCAAGTGCTGGCGAGATGACAACCCAACCCCCAACACAGCGTCTATTCTGTTTAGCCCAGTAAAACAAAGAGACGAAACAGACTGTTTATGATGTCACCACCAGAGGATTGACGGCCCGCTTGCTATTAGTTCAGTTATTATTACAAACGATGATGGATGTTTATGAATGAATCATCACAAAGTCCTTTGAACGCGCTTGTCCCAAAACTTGCCGCCTTCTAAGATCACACTCCCTCGCCTTCCAAACGAAAAGGCAAAATGAGATATACCAATCAACGTCAGTTTATGTGGACACCATAGCTCATCTTTCCACGGATGGATGCCAGGTGACAGATAAAAAGCTTTCAATTTTTTGGGCTCCGTGGAAAGTATTAATTTTAAATGGAAGCATGAAACCATGTTGCCGTGGGGATATTCTTATAAATGAATGGATACCAACTCCCGATTATCTATCAAACCACAAGCTTTTTCCTTAGTTACTGCCCCGTGAAAATGGCGACAGGGTCATTTTCTCAGCCATCAGAGAGAAGCGTCCATCTCACGAGAGAGAATTACAACGAAAAACCCATAATGGATGTTGGGGCAGAGGCAATTTATGTTTTTATTAAACCAAGTATGCAACATATTATGCACCGAAAAAAGTAACAGCATATGTTGCATCGCATTCGTCTCCAAAAAAAAAAGCGTGTTTTTTCCGTTAATTTGATGGGGGCCCTTGCCGGGGTTGCTTTAGTTAATTCGGTGAACTCAAGGTACGGACGATGGCATAACTAGCGAAAGCTGAAAACCGAGTAGTAATTGACGTAGAATAATAATAATTTTTTTTAATCCCAAAAAAAAAAAAAAAGAAGAAAATGGCGGTTTAGCCTCAGCAGCGCGTCAGCGCTAATGCCCCAAAAAGAAAAGCATGTCATGGCGCCAAACCCCTAAATGATCAGAAGTCCCCAGCACGGAACGAAAGTTAATTTAATTTTGAGTTGCCGCCCTCAGTATTAAATCTCATTGGTCCCTTATCCCCCGCCACGGATTCCAATCCCAACTCCCCCGCTTCACGTAATCTCGACCGTAGGTTGAGAAAATCATCCACGGCCACACACACTTTGGGAACCCGATGGAGATTCTTCCCCTGCTTATAAATCACTGGCCTCAGCCGCGATCATCGTATCTCTTCAGAATCAGAAGAAGAGCTTGTTTCTTCCTTCTCTACAGAATCAAGCATCCATCTCTTCATCGAAATGGCACGAACCAAGCAAACCGCTCGCAAGTCAACCGGAGGAAAGGCGCCGAGGAAGCAGCTGGCCACTAAAGCGGCCAGGAAATCGGCTCCTGCGACCGGAGGTGTGAAGAAACCCCATAGATTCAGACCGGGAACGGTGGCCCTGCGAGAAATCAGAAAGTATCAGAAGAGCACTGAGCTTCTGATACGAAAGCTTCCGTTTCAGAGGTTAGTGAGGGAAATTGCTCAGGATTTCAAGACCGATCTTCGATTCCAGAGCAGTGCGGTGGCTGCTTTGCAGGAGGCTGCTGAGGCATACTTGGTTGGTCTCTTTGAGGACACCAATCTCTGTGCCATTCATGCCAAGAGAGTTACTATCATGCCTAAAGATATTCAGCTCGCTCGTAGAATTAGGGGTGAGAGGGCTTAGTCTCTCTGCGGTTGTTGCCGCCCTACCGTTTATAAATCGTAGTCCTGTTCTGGCCATGCATCGTACTTTTTAGTTTTTCTGGGACTGTAATTAAGATTCCATCATCTATTGGAAAGATAATCTCGTTTTTTCTTTGGCTGTTATTTCCTAGGAGTTGGTATTAGACACGTTCATCATTGATGCTTTTTTCAAATGTGTATTTAATGACCAAGATGAAACGGCTTCAGGACTTACATCGTTTGTCTTTGTTTGCTAATTTGATATTCCGGATTGGCTCCTGAGCATTTTCACAGAGTTTGATAATAGGTGTCGATATGAATATTGATTTATTGATAATCGATTAGGGAAGAATAAGATGGCGAATGCATCCGATTTTATGCTAGGTATATAAGCAATCACAGTAACACTACACTGTTGTTTTTATTCCCTGAGGGAACGTATCAAGAATGTCAAGCATTTTCCCAACAAGTTAGCAGAATGAATAAGGAGGGAAAACAAGGGGAGAAGAGGTGATAGAAGAAACATCAGACCCAATTGCTGGAGATGGAGAAGTCATGGAATCTGAAGGAAAGGTCGCCGGCAGTATCCCTCTGGAGCCTGGACTCTGATCCAACACTGCTGCTAACTTCACCTGCAGCAGATAGTTGTGGGAACAATTCCTGAGTTTCTATATCATCGGAATCATGGGTTGGGAATTGAGCTTCATCTGGTAACGGAGACTGATCTCTGAATCTGGTGCTCTCTCCACTTGTAGAAGCCAATGTTGGGTCCCACAGGAAGACGTGCATTAGAATAGGAGCACTGGCGTGTCTATGCAAGGACAATTTCTGGCTCAATGAAACTGTGTCGAAGCAACGAATGGCTCCTGTAGATGAAACCAACCATGGAAGCACTTTCTGATTTGAAACTCTTGAAACTACCAATAACCTTGAAGTATCTGATGCTTGCTGGTACAAATTGCTGAGCCCTGACCGTGTGGCAGGTAAATTTTCTTGACCATTAATCACTGAAGAGATGAAAATAAATCCCTGTTGATTGCATGGATGTACGTATTAGCAAATACTAATCTAATGTCACTGTATCAGTGGCAATGCTTCAAGAGTTAAGAGAGTGATACCTCTTCTGTGCGACTAATGGCAAACCCAAGCTTTGTGTCGCTCTCTTTTAGTTTGATCTCAATTGGGAACTCCTCTCCAATCGGAGCGTACCACAGTCGAACTGCTCGAACAACGCCTATATCCACCCCATGATAATCCTCAAAACCGTAAAGGCTTGCATTTGCGAGGTTTGCCAAGTCGGATAATGACCCGGCACTCACAGTTGACGACGCCGTCTCTCCAGAGATCTGTCTCCCAAACACAATAAATTCTGTTATTCCTTCGCAAACGAACTATCAAAAGATGAAGATTAAATTCCATTTTATTGTCTCCGAAGATGAATGAAGGAGGCATAAACATGTATCTTGATGAGAATGGGGAACTGACCTTGGTAAGCAGGGACTCGGTTTGGATATTGATGAAGACAATAGGAACCCCTGAAGACTGAGCAGCTTGAAGCCATGCATTTGCCCTTGCCAACGTGTCTTCTAGATCATTATAGCGAGAAACTGCACGATCGGAAGCTTTTGGAAGGAATAGTATGGAAAGGAAGTTGCTAGAATTGGGAACTGGCAACAACTCCTGCATCTTCCTCTCCCATGAATACGACACATACCCGTCTTGAGGTCGGGTCCTATTTAGTTCATTCACCATCCTCGTGGTTCTTGAACCTGCAAATAAACAATTCATTGGTAAAGATATAAGAAGTTAACTATCAAGTCAATTGCTGACTAAATCAAGACATCCATGGGCACAAGCAATGGAAGTACTTGACCTACCTGTTGTTCTATATTCTAGACTTGGGCTCAGAAGAAATGCCCTTAAATGATACCTTGTGTTCAAGTTTCTGTAGGTTACTGATAGAATGTCTGCTATGGTGTTGGATGCAAAACTATTCCTTTTGGTCTATACATAAAAGTGCCAATTGCTATACGTAAACAGAATCTTATAGCATTATTGGTGAATGACTCGTGTCAATATCCCCACCGACCACAAGGTTGGCCACGCCATTTTCCCTCTGCTAAAGCTTATCCCGATTGATGTGTAAAGGACTGTTTCCTCCTACGTCAACGAGAAGGCGTCCCTTTTGATAGCACAAAACTACAACTTAGGCGATACATGGCTCTTTATGACTTAGGTCAACTTCGCACAGCACAGGTAACAAGGAGCACGCTTCACGCACCTTGGTGCCGGACACCCCCCCCCAAAAAAAAAAAACAAATGGCTTTGATATTGAGAAAATTCCAAAAAAGGTCTTTGGAATATAGAAAATTCTAGATTGGGTCCTAGAATTTCAAAAATGATAGAAAGGGTCAGTAACCCAATATGTTATTTGTAAAATTAAGAGGAATTGATAACTTTGTATTTATTTGTATTCATTCACTACAATGATTTAAGGAATCACTATAAGGGTTTAGGTGTTATTTAGATTCATGTAGCGAATAACTACTCACTTTTTCATAATTAGGTGTCTTGTTATTAACTACAACTAATTTTGTAATTACTAAAACAATATAAACATTACCTAGATTCGTGTAGAGAATAACTATTCACTTTTTCATAGTCAGGTACTTTATTATTAACTATAACTAATCTTGTAATCACTAAAATAGTGTAAGCGTTACCTAGATTTGTTTGGAGAATAACTACTCACTTTTGTTTAGTCAAGAGTAAAATTGTCAACTCGTCTTAATTTCACAAATGACAGATTGGATCAACGACCCTTTCTATCATTTTTGAAATTTCAAGACCCAATCTGAAATTTCTTATATTTCAAGAGTTTTTTCTGGAATTTTCCCTTTGATATTCACACGCTACATAAATGCCTCAAAGCAGTATAATGAAAATAGGATTTGATCCGCTCAAAATACACAAGGCAGAGTCAATCATGAAAGTTCAACAAAGAGCTTATTTAGTTGAATGCAGCCAGAGATTTGAATTTCATCTTCAATTATATACTCCTCTTATTCTTAATGTAATACATATTTAACTAATGTAATTAGATTTAAAAAGTTAGGTAAGTTAGTTAATTATAAAAAATATTTTTTTAATATACCATAATCATATTTTTTAATATCTTCTCTCCCTTCTCTACTTGATTAGAGTTAAGAAAGTATTAATAGAAAATAATTTAGAAAAAATTGATAAATGTGAAAAATAGATCTTACATTTAAAATTAAGATTAAGTCAATAATTATGTCTTATATTAAGAAATGGGAAAATAATCTACGGAGCAATTTATAATTTACCTTGTCCCTTCTCAAATTTTTTGTGTCATCCATCAGACTCATACTATGTATGCACTTACATATAGTAAAATCCGTAAATATGAGAAGGCGCATGTATGAAAATTGAGAGCTAAGGGGTACGCAACCTGTACTCTAGAAACAATTGAAAAGGAGATTCTTTTTTGGCCCAAAGCCGGGGCCTAATCTCCAAAGTCAAAAGATGGCCATAGATATTTTCCCTTGTGGGGCTGACATGGATTACGCCTTTTGACAATCGCACGTAGAAATGATGAAAAGTAAAAACTAAATGTATTCCTTAGATTTATATAATTTTTGCATATGTATATATGTTAATTAAAATCATATGAATGAATTTTAGGAGACATATATTATTCTTTTTTGAAAAAAAAAAAAACTTTGACGGCCTACTAATAGCTCCGAGGCCTTGTCTCTAGAAAAACTGGGATCTAAAAGCGGAGAAATGGAAAGGGTGAAAATATCCTCTTCGGCGAATTATTACTTTTAGCAATAAACTATTTTTAAAAAAAATAGTTTCATCGATCATATTATATGCGGGCAGCCGCCAAATAAGAATATGGGCAGGCGGCAATTGTGCATCGACATAGATAATTAGACACTGTTATCTCCGGCAGCTCCCGGTACGGTCGTTCTGAACGGACGTATGGTGTTCGAGATGCAGAACTCCATATCAGAAAATCACATGTAAGGAAGTTTGATAGATAACAAGAGTAGTACCTTGAAGCTGGAAGCATTCGGCCTCGGTGCGATCCAAGAAGCCGACCACGTAATTGGGATCAGTAATAGAGCGGAGGACGAACTGCTTCTTGTCGTGAGGAACGATACAGGCCTGCAATTCAGCAAACTCATGAGGCCCACGGCGGACCCGAACCACTATGGAGGTGTCCTTCTTCTTAAACGACTCCTGGAGGATCTTGTTGACGCCGTTCCTGCCGTTCTTGAAAGGCGCTTTGAATCGGATCAAGGAGTTGACGGACGATCCGATTCGGAGCTCCTCGACTATGTCGCCGGACTGAAGCATGTCCCCGGACCATTCCTCGGATTTGGCGCTTCCCCGGAGGCACTCGATGGACACCACTTTCAGGTCTCGGGTCGGGGAATCGGAGCTGCTCTGACTGGCTCGATCCATGGTCATGTTGTTTAGGTTTGTGCAGCACCTAACAGTCACATGGATATTTACTGGCAATTAATTGGGAGGGGGAGAGAGAGAATCCGTTCCTCTGTATTGGTACTCACGAGTCTTAATTTATGATGGATGAAGAGGAGGAACAATGTAAATTATAGTCGGAGGCCCAAGATGTGAACGGAAACCTGACACGATGGCTAGCTATTAGTTTTCCATATATAAACAATGATTTTACAATTTAAGGTCAATGCAACAGCATCGCAGCCCCTGAGAGGCTCATCAATGTGAACTCAAAATCCTCGAATTGTCATTGGTCATTATTAAACCAATAGACTATTCATGAGTAACGCATTGACAAAGCAATCTTTCCTAAATAATGATTACCGCGGAGAACTATTTATGCTAATATCGTCATATTTTGTGTACCACGATCAACCCTGTTTTTTCCATGTATATTCCAATCATCTTCTGATCAACCCTGCTTTTTCCATGTATATTCCAATCATCTTCCTTGTATATTGTAAAATTAATAAAAAAAATTATGAGACAATTCAATGAAATTATATGTACATATAGGAATAAGTCAGGTCATGTCTTGTCCTTCCAATCTTCTTCGGTACGGTCCTGCACATGACTCGTGCTTCATACTACCAAATGCCCATTAAATGTGACGCCGCGTACAACTGTGTATCTGATCGCCTTCTCATGGATAATGCGTTGTAAATAAAAGCAATGAATTCACACACTTTTAAGTTGAAATGAATATTCAGTTCAATAGATTTTAATAACGGATTCTACCACCCTGGCCCCCACCTTCCCCTAGTGACAACTCCTTGCATCGTGTATCTCCGTACGTTTTTATCACTACCACTTAAACAAACCGATTCATGTTCATTGGGTATCTCGAATGTTTCTTGTATTGACTCTAGAAATCAAGACGTGGTGGCATGCGACAAAATTCTTTCAAATTTTCTGAATATTAGATTCTTCGTGTTCAAAATATAGATTCAGACTCCGCAGAGAGGCAACGGAATATTCAAACATGGCATGCCAATATGTCTATAAAAATACCAAGAGTGCGTGAATTTACGGATTTTGTTCGTATCATACCACTCATTTTCACACTCACTTTTTTCCCCTTTAAATTGATTGTAGTGTTTTAAAGTTTGAATTTTTTTCCCCCTTTTAACTTATCAGATGAAACAAAATTTTGGGGGCGGGGGGTGAGGTGAAGGGTTGAATTTGAGGGCGGATGAATGCGTAAAACGAGAGAGCAGGATAGGAGCTGGTCAAAAGCCGGTGAACCGAGCCACATACCTCATCATCCGTTGGATCCAACCAGGGGGATTATTATGCGTCGGTCAAGATTCAACACGCGTGTTCGCAGACTGGTTGAATTCATTAATCGCAAAACCATTTCAAGTTTCAACAAAACAATTATAAATGAATCTATATAGAGTTGACTAGAGTGGAGTATAGTGCTAATACAGTATAGTTTTAATTTTTTTGGGTATATAATTATTTAATCAAATAATATAAAATGCATAATCTGTTATCTAATTTTATTCTTTTATACAGGAAAAAAAAATAATCTCGGGATCCTCATAGTTTGTGTCTGCCTTTTAATTTAGTCCTCTGACTCCTCTCCTTCTAAGAAAAACCCCACTTTTGTGGAAGTATTACTCCTCTGTATTCTTCTTCTTCTTCTTTTTTTTCCCCCAATGACATAAGCAAAGGTGACATAACCCTAAATAAGCATGTCAATTTGATAACAAAAGTCTAATAGTTGTTTGAGTTTTTCTTTTGTCGATTTGATTAATTTAACATTTTAGTGCAACTTCAGCCCATCAGACGAAAATAAGCATGTCACATGCTTGACATGAAATTTAATTAACCAGGTAGCAGGTATTATATTAATTGGGCTTTTTTTTATTTTTATGGAATTTTGTCCATATTTATTTATGTATTTTCAATTAGCGTTTTAGACCGTAATAACCTACCATGAGTTTTTGAACTTAATTAGGGTTTAAAATTAAGGCTTCCAAGAAACCCAGCTGGTTTCGAGGTATTTTATTTTCTTATTAACACCTCACTATGTATGCAACTCAAATTAAAGTTTAGAAAGGAAAATAATTTAATTTTTTTGAATCGAGCAAGGCTTGTTGCTTAGCGTTCATAACACTTCATCGCAACTTTCTGAGGTTTCATCAGTTATAGTGCTGCCCTGTATTGTTGAAATATTAAAATCTAGCTCCTTGCTGGGGCCGCACTCCGGAAACTTGGGTTAACATTGGCGAAGATGGCTGCATTCATCAGCTAGCCGCATGTGATAATATTGGGCCATTGGCTACGCTTTTGAGGATCATGTGAATCAATAAATGCCCAACAAACAACAAAAGATGTGGTGGGCCTAGAGCCAGGTCAAAAGAGAATCTAGAGATGCATTTTATTGATTGACACCATCCTCATCCTAGTTAGCATTTGACCGAATCCAATAACTTCAATGAATTGTTCAAAGTGTGCTTTTATCGACAACATCCACAATGATACCAGAGGATCGAATAATGCAACCATGTTCAAATAAAAGTAGTACATGGTATACGAGGGGATCCGATCCCCTGCTATGCGAGAACAAGAACATCTCCGGTTTTCTTTCAATCATTCTGGCTACAAATGGCAGTACCACATGGTAATGAGTATTTTATAAATATAAATTTGTGACATCCACTGTTTGATATCTCATAAATCCATTACACTGCCAAGGTCAAAATCCGTTGTTATGGCCATCGAATAATGACCGGCAATGTCTAAGTGACTATATTACTTTTTAAAACGACGCTTCTCACCTGAAAATATCTCCCGAACTCCATTCTTTAAGATCTTCTTCTACTCTTAAAGTCCGCATGAGCCAAGGATCGATTGAGTTTCGAAGAAGCTGCAGAAAATTTTCGACTTCCTGAAACTTTCTGAGAACTCACAGGACGAGATTCCAAGTGTTGTCCAAGTGTTCGCCCTGAAGAACTGATGGGTTTTGCCGACTTAAATTTCTGATTACCCGCAGAAGTGCAGCTTTTGTTCAGCACATGAGCATCATCAACCTTAGCAATGGATTTTCCTGAGCTGTTTAGAGGTGCGCTGTCTGAATCAGAAGATGAAGGGCCGGCGCTACTCTCCAAATCATATAATAGGTTATCTCTCACGTGCGCAAGCTGGTCATCGCGTGAGTCATAGCTGAAAGAGGAGGGTCTACGAAGTCTAGAAAGTTGCATAACCTGCGATAAAATCGTCAAACTACTCTTGAGAAGCATGTTCAATTCGCAGGATACACAAGCTACGTCAACATGTCGGAGTGTTCTTACCTTTTGTTCCAAAACAACCAACTCTTTCTTCAGTTTTGTAATAGTTGAATTCTTCCTGCGTATAATGTCTTCCAATTCACTAACTCGCTGTTTAAAACAGTGATGGGCGGGTTAAATATAGGAAGCAAAAGTTGCAAGAATGAAATTGTGAATGAAAGCCAGCAAAGTTTTCACTATATACCTTTGATCTAGCAACTTCAGAAACGCTGAGAAGGTCAGTCAACTCCTTTATTTGGGCATCCTTCTCTTTGCAATCTCTCTTGAGATTAAAGACATCTTGCTCTAAACCCAGGCTGTTTAACTGTGAATAGCACAACACATGACAAAAAGGCCACCAATTAATTTCCATCCGATGGAGCAATTTCACTTAAAGACGCTGATTCCAGTTGAAGTCAAGGCCAAGAATACAACAACACATAAATAAATTTTGGAGGAGCTTTGCTGGCCAGATTTTTGATGACTCAATGATAAAAATTATTTTTTTTAAAAAAAAGAAGAGAGAGATGGTGTAAGATTGTAAGCATAGCGGGACCCACTCTATGCCAAATTTAAGAGGGAATCTACGCAAGATTTGGGGAGCTCAACCAAATACGATCTATGAAAAATTGAGCACTGCTACCGATGCATGTTACATAATACCTAAGAAGGAATGCCAGAACAGATGATAATTATGAGGTTATGTGACCTGGATATCAGAAGCCGATGTTACACTTGAAGCCCAAGACAAGTCAGACATTCGCCTCTCCTCTTGTTCTTCATCAAATAAGGGTGTTTTATACAGCGCTTCATTCCCATAAGAATCTTTTGTGACAGACTTTTCCTGCTGACAAATTAAACGAGTCAAACTTTTCAGCTGCATAGTTATTATTACTTAAAATTAACAAAACAAACATTTAGTGGCAAGCGCCACCGAAATCGGTAGAGTAACCAACCGCAAATAAGTCAGAGTGTTCATCATTAGGCCAGTAATCGCAATCAGAGCCCCATAATTCACTTAACACTGTTTCCCCATTCTTTGGTAATGGTTTCTTCACCGCCGCAATGGAATGCTCCTTAGTATGGTAGAGCAGCTCGCAGAGATTGTCAAGCTTCTCCTGCATTCTCGTCAGCACCCGATCCTGATAGATAGCCACAAAAATGATGAAATCGGAGAAGCCCATTGTTTAAAAAATGAGTATCAGTTTACACAGTATAAAAATGTCAAGAGGAAGCACGCAGGGCCTACCGGGAGAAACAACATAAGCTCAACATATTGTATATTTTTTATCGTCTAACAGTACATCAGAAGTCACTATATTTCAGGCAAGATCGGAAAGAACCAGTCCCCACATATCCCACTCAACCCAGAATAAAATGAAAAGGTGAGTCGTCAAAACAGAGTGTAAATTTTCTCTTCGTTTCTTTAATAAAAAGGCACATAATAATTAAAGGGAGCATTGCTGAGACCCAATAGACCAATCAATCAATCAATCAAATGAATTAAAAAAGAAAAGGCAATTCCTGGTTAAATCAATAGTAAGAACCAAAGCAAACAAAAAGCGAACCCTGAGTTCGACGGACTTCTTCAGCTGCCATATCTGCTCGTTTTTCTTGGATTCAGCGGCTGCGACCCCGATGACAGCGACGATGAGGAACCTGTGGATGGGGTTAAAGAGCTCCCAAGCGAGGGCTTCTTGTGGGGCTAAAGCACCCCCAATGGTTCGGACTGAACTGGCTTCCTCGGAGTTAACCAGTCTTCCCTGGAGCGAGACCCAAGCAAGTTTGGTGGGGGATGAGAGAGGCGGAATAGGGTGGAGGAAGGCGGCAGAGATGCTGCGGCCGGAGGGAGGGAGAATGGGAGGAAGAGAGACAAAAGGAGGAGGAAGCGCTTCTTCGTCCATGGGATGATGGGGTGCAGCTCAAATGAATTCGAATGTGGATGATGGACAGCCAGTTATTGGTAACATTGTAGCATTCAAATTTTAGGATTTGAGAGGGAAAAGTACAGTGTACTCATTCAAATGCTGCCCGAACATTACCATCGTATTTGCGATTTTTAAGGAACGTATTTTTTTCCCCAAATAATTCCTTTTTGTGTTGTGTCTATCGTAAAAACCTTCATCCTCCGTTTTTTTCTTTTTCGGCAGGATTCTAAATTTAAATTGTTGAATTTTTATACAATTTAATAAAATATTAAAATGAATGTAGCATCAAAAACTTTAAAGTTCAAATACATGTTCAGTCATTCCGATTAAATTTTATGATTAAAGGAGAACAAACGCAGGATTCTTATGATAATTTTATGTAATTGATAATTATCATTCTTAATATGAGTTGACAAATCGTATGATATTAATAATTGTTACCGTCATAATCGGGGATGAACAACCTATTAAACGTTTGATACTACTGTATTCGGTCATAGATATAAAAATTAGTTAATTAATTTGAGTATATTAAGAAAAAAAATTAAGTTAATTATTTGTAATAAATAGGTGTTGTCTTTTATAAAATATCTTGTTAATCATGTTTATTGGCTAAAACAACTATTATTAGAAGGACTATCTTGGAAAAAAGATAAATAAATATAAGAAACGAAATAGATTGGGGTTTTATATTTAAGACCAAAATAAAAATGAAACAAAGTCTTATATTAAAACCGGACGTAGTATTTATATTTGAATCATTAAATATTTACTTTTTCGTGGCTTATTATAAGATCCAATTTTTTTAATTAGTTTGTCCTTATTTATAAGATTTTCTTTGAGTTTGTCTAAACAATAAACGTATTTTTACTCACTTTACCCTTACTCACTTTACCCTTAATTAATATACTATCTCTCACTATCTTTTTTCTACACTTTAACCATATAATATAGTTAAGTGAATATTTATATAAGGGACGAAGAGAGTACTATCTTAATGTAAGAGCTAATTAATTAATTTGAGTATATTTAGTTATTTGTAAGAAACGGGTGTTTTGTCTCTCTTAAAATACTCTTACTAATAATATGTATTAGATAGACTATCATTTGACAAAACATTTAACATATGCAACTACTATAAAGATTACTTTAGAAAAATTAGATAAATTTGAGAGATAAAATATATTGACATTTTATATTTAAAACAAATTAAAAACTAAATTAGCTGTTATATTAAAGATTGGATGTAGTGATAGGTAGCTAATATTTATCACTTATGTTTGGTACGGGGTTTCAGGAGAGGGAAGTTGCTCCCCTCCCCTTGTTTGGTTGGTGTAATTTTTTAGGAGGGGAGGAGAGCCCCTCCCCTCCCTCGTTGGTTAAGATGTTTTTTAAAGAGGGGAGGGGTTCTTCTCACCTCTCCTTCCCTTCTAGCCTTCCCTCCAAAAGTGAGGTTTTTTGGAGGGGAGATGAGAGATAATATTTTAATTCCTTATATACCCTTTCGATTTGTTAACCTCTAATCAATCGTAAACATTTCTACATAAGAGAGTTCTTTTGAGCATCTAACAAGAGGTTATTAAGATAATTGTCTCCAAAATTAGTGAGCATTTGTAAACCTTTTTTTTTTCCTCTTCTTCTAATTCCAAGAGGCCGTTGGTATTTTCTTTCATTTTCAAGGTCTTTTCTCTGATTGAAATCTATTACTTGTGACTTTTTATCTTGATATTCTATAAGTGTATGACTGTGTCTTGTAAATCAAAATTGGTGAATTGTATTATATATATATATAGTTATATCTTAACAAAATAAAAAAGTGAGAAAATTCATTTAAATTTTATGAGGTTAAAATAGTCAATTTTTTATTAGAACAAAATAAAGTATTATTAAAATTGCTCCCTCCCTTCCCTTCCAATCTATCCAAACAGGAGATCATTAAAATCCCTCCCCTCCCTTGTTCTCTTGTATATTTTAATTCCTTATATACCCTTTCGATTTGTTAACCTCTAATCAATCGTAAACATTTCTACATAAGAGAGTTCTTTTGAGCATCTAACAAGAGGTTATTAGATAATTGTCTCCAAAATTAGTGAGCATTTGTAAACCTTTTTTTTTTTTCCTCTTCTTCTAATTCCAAGAGACCGTTGGTATTTTCTTTTATTTTCAAGGTCTTTTCTCTGATTGAAATCTATTACTTGTGACTTTTTATCTTAATATTCTATAAGTGTATGACTGTGTCTTGTAAATCAAAATTGGTGAATTGTATTATATATATATAGTTATATCTTAACAAAATAAAAAAAGTGAGAAAATTCATTTAAATTTTATGAGGTTAAAATAGTCAATTTTTTATTAGAACAAAATAAAGTATTATTAAAATTGCTCCCTCCTTTCCCTCCAATCTATCCAAACAGGAGATCATTAAAATCCCTCCCCTCTCTTTTGTAACTACCCTCCCTTGTCCTCCCCTCCCCTTCTTTTGATTAAAATCCCTCCCCTCCCTTCCCTCCGTCAAGCCAAACACAGCGTTAAAGTTTACGCTTACAAGTAAGCACTGTAATGAATGAAAGAGCAGCGTAAGCAGTGGATTTCAATTTATGAACGGCGCCGGAAATATGCAGGCTAGACGGTTTTAGACTTTTAGTATAGGAATTAAGATGTAAATGTCAGCCTTATGTCTAGTGGGGCTAATTTTTGTGTCCATTTTTCCGGCTAGATGACGCTGTCTAATTTGCAACCTTTGATCAATCACAGTGGTGGGCCTAAGACGATGGCCTTGAGCCAGTGGGGGCAATCTAAAAAAAAATCCGACCCAAATATGTCTAAGTCTGGGCTTATGGGGTCCAATATGAAAATCAATAGGGTCAAAAACGTAATTTTTTCTTTTTTAACTAAAACATAATATCCTCCTAGGAGAGACGTATTCGAGGTATTGTTAGGCACTAAAATGCAATTGTCATATATATTATTTATAACAAGTAATTTTAGGAAATTCAGTGGGGCTAGTGCTTCCACCGGCCAATACACTGGTCCGCTCACCATCTTCTTGTCTGAAGGTGATGGATGATGACTGACGAGAGGAGGATGGCTGACATAGGGGTTATTATGTAATCTCTTGAAACTTAATACTATTAGAGGAAACTAAATTGGCCCCCTGACTTCTTTTTCTCCATACGGTAAAAGGTTCGAGGAACAGCTGAGCTTGTGTCTTGAATACAGCTTTTTTTTTTCAAAAAGAAAGAGAAAAAGAAGAAAGAAAAATTGTTACTATAAAGGAAAAATAATTTTAAAAAAATAAAATGCTAAGTCTAGCCCTCAGCCTTCAAGATGAATGAAGAAATTCCAACACATCAAAATTAAGAGAAAAAAATTGGTAAAAAAGATTTTTTTTATTTAAAAAAAGGAGAATAAAATGGTAGAGGAAGGATCAATGGAAGACACTAGAAGCGGAAGGAGCGTCATGTGACCCCAAAACAAAAGAAGGCATGAAATTACGAACGAATGGTAATGGATGACCAAAGATGTCACACTCCCACCAGCGAACGTCCCCACCTCCTAAAAGCGCATTCATTCAATTTTGTCTCTCTCTCCCCTTTTGTTTGCTGGCTTTCTCCTCCCCCGCTTTTCAACTTATAATTTAGTAACCCTCTTTTCGTGCTTACTTTTTCTTCGTTTTGGGTGATCGAGCCCTTTTGTCTATTGCTTGTTAGGTAGCAGGACGAGAATTCCCAGTTACAGTGTTGTTACTTCCCTAGTTTTCTTAATCCCCTCCAGCTGTGTGCACAATAAGGGCAACTTTTCCCTGCCGACATCATTCCCGACGGGGTCCACATTCTTTCCTTTATTTGCCTTCCTCCGACTGCTTTTCACATCATGTCGCTCCCATAATCTCCCCCATCACATAACAAACCGGCGGTTTCACACCCCATCACATTTGTATTGGCAATGTTAAAACATCACATGTTGATGGTTTTATCGCATTCAACACTACAGAAATGCCTTCGCATGTAAGATACCACTGTCTGTCAAGCAAAAACAAAGAAAACGAAAGAAAGAAAGAAACATGAAACAAACATCCGAAACCAGGGTAAAGGAATAATAACCTAAAGCACTGAAATCCAAATTGGCAATAATGGGCCCAACAGAAATAAAAAGGGGAGGGGCAATAGCCACCATTCAAACGGATTAGGATAATGAGTTTCGAAAATGGAACAACCACCACCGAAAAGACTTATTGGAGAAACCCAAATATGGAGAGTAAAAGGGGAAAAAGCACAACTGAAGCCTCACATCATATGGCCGCGTCGGACCCTCCATGACGTTAACCTTCCCGTTTAATGCGAAAGCGAACCCATACAACAACACATCTCTTTACTATTCCATCAGGAAACAAGCAAGCCACATTAACTCCTCTCTTACCCACCCTAAAACAAATAATCTTACACCAATTTGTACAACCATGCCTGCTATCTGTTCCATCTCACGGTTAGTTGTTATGAGCAAACTCTCTATCCTGCTTTTCTTTCAATCTTCTAAAACATATTACTACAAATCTGTACAATGATGCAGTTGTATTAATTCTCCCTCATCTCCGTCACTGCCCCTGCTTGTGTGGACACGTGCACTTTGCGTGACTGTCTGAAAGTGTCTGTGCAAATATGCAGTGGGAAGAAAAATGAGCGAGTGAGCACCCAATATATAGTCATCAAGCAGTTTCTTCGTGTTGAAAAATAGGGACGTTGTTGTGATGATCCAGTGTTTTATTTTACATACCTGAACCTTCTTTTGAAGTTCTTTAATGTAGTCGACAGCCAAGTCCAACATGTCTGCTGTGTTTGTTTGCTGCAATAACGAGAGGGGAAAAAAATCACCATTCATTTTCCTTCGTTTTCACAACCTGGCTTGCTATCTATATGCAAAAATCTTACTTTGTCCATGTTGGGGACCAGATCTTGCAGCTTCCTCATACGCTCACTGATCTTAGTTCTTCTAACCTGACCCCAGTTCACATCCACATAACCATAAGTTAAAATCAACATAGTTTACCATTTGCCCAAGTATAGCTTTTAATTAAAACTCCCAAAAAAAGCAATCGAAATATATTTTAGAATCAAGATGCTGGATAGTAGACACCCTGGGGAAAATCTTAGGAGTATGAACGAGAAAATGTATTAGTTCCTGAAGGCTATATGTCCAAACAGTGAATTTTAGTAATAAATGATTTATTAAATTTTGTTACTCGCTACTGATTCATCACGTCAGTTACAGAAACATGAACCGAACCATGTAATTTTAGGATTCAGAGACCAAATGCACGCACACATATATATTTCCTCTATACAAGACGTACCCTTTCGGCAATGCTTCTTGGGTGAGTGGCGCAGCCTCTCTTGGCACGAATTTTACAGGGAACGGAATCTGAGAACTGCAGAAACTTTTCAATGGCTGCCATTTCCGCTGAAGTTTTTGGCAAGCTGAGATGATGAGCCAGAGGAGAAGGACGAGGTTGGCTGCCCGTCTCGTTCTGTTCAAGGACAACTAAATCGGGTCAATGATATTCCACTTGCAAAATATGAATCAGAACAATGTTGAATCATTTTGTACCTGAGTCTGACCCGAAAAAGTTTTTGCGTCCTCGTCTCTAAATCTTTTTAGTCCAGAAGTATTGTCAGACATGAGTGCAGAATCGTCCCAAGAGCCTGCGGGGAAACCTGTGATGAACTCATTAACTTGGCTATCAGCAAAAGATTCAGTGTCTTGATTCTGTTCTGTTTTGCCTTTATCCCCAGCTTCAGCTATGGAAGACATTAGGCCTGTTGAGTATTTTGGCGGATTTTTCATCCTCATCGCAGCAGAGAAGTTTGCTTCTTCGCTTGCGTTATTACCAGCTCCCGATATGCCCGTGCCTCTCATAGCATAGCCTGCCAATTAAGCTTGCACAGCGTCATTATGACAACCTATTCAGGAAGTAAGAAAATGAAGATCGGGAATATAAAGCCCTCAACAACAAAACATCGAATATTGTACCCATGATAAGCTCATCCAACCTTGTTCCAAATTCCGCTCCCTATTTTTTTATTTTAAAAAAAAAAAAAGGCAACCCTAACAGGGTCATCCTTTCTCATCTTTTACAACTAATAGTTAATTGCATAACTGGGCTGCACAGAATTTTGCAACTATAGGCGTGGGACCTTAAATTCAGGCATCTCCTTGGCCATGTACAGAAAAGAAATATGGCGAACAAGAAGCAAATTGCTAAAAGTAAATTATATTTCAAGAACAGTAAATCTTGATATATTTATTTTTCAATACTGAAGTAAAAAAATAGTAAAAGGGCAAGGAAAAATGAAGGTGAAGACGGAACATATTACTTTCAATGTTTATGGTGGAAAAGAGTCCTGCAGGAGAGCTATTGTGCCTGATTAGACTGGAATTATTTGGATCAGGAGCCTTCATATGTGGCACTCGATGACCTCCTCTAGGATAGGCTCCGTCCGTAGCTGATGAAGTCAGGCTCTGATTCGGCAAAGGTGGACGTCCCGAGCTTTGGAAAAGATTCTGCGGAGCAGAAACAAAATTACTAATACTGTTCTGCTGCTGCTGCGGCTGGTGATGGTGGAGAGCCACCGGTTCACTGTTTACGGGAGGCATCACTTGAGACTGCTGATCCATCTCTTCCTTCACCGCAGAATTTTGTCGAGCAGCAGAAAGATATTGAGCCGGTGCATCTTCTGACTCATTAGCAAGACTATTAATAAACCGTGAAAAAATCCGCTCCGTTTCGGGGCTGGAAGGCCGATTGAACATGTCCTCATAAAATTCCTTGTCTATAATATCCGTAAAATACGAGCTCGGCGCCGATCGATACCGTGTCAAACCAGAATTCATCTGCTGCTGCTGCTGACCATGAAACATTGAAGAGGGTTGCTCAAGATCTGACTCCATTGCTTCCCAGGTTCGCTTCAAAAAACGATTCAGGCGTATTTGATTTCGAAGACGGAGGAGGATTTGTTCTTGACTGGGAATTTTGTCGCTGCTTCCGTTTTCAGATCGACCCACGTTTCTTTCGACTCGGAAGAAGTCTGCAGGCAAATCCTAGGGAATATTATGAACTGAAACAAGTGTAGAAAGTTGAAGCAGATCTAAAACTAAGAAATCAAATCTAAATCCAGATAATTCGGCAGGATACTAAGCTAAGTAAGTATGGCGCAGCTAAAGTACAGGAAAGAGGACAATAAAAAAGGGGATGAGGAGAACTACAAGTTGCCAGTTATTTATTTGGCTGTAGAAAATAAGCAGCAAAAGCAAGAGTAATGAGTGAAAAGAGGGGCAAGTACTGTGTCGCTGAAAATGAATCACTCAGGTCATCAAAATCCAAATATAAGATTCGCAACAAAAGCAACAGTGGGGGGAGAGAAAGCAGAGGCAGGGAAAAATAACAAGCACTCACCAGAAACCGCGAGAGCGTGGGGAGGGAAGGATGGAGAGAAGGCGGAGTAGAAGGATGAGGAGGAGAAAGAAAGGGAACTTTCGGTATCAAAGCGGAGGAGAGGGGGTACGTACGTGCGAAGAGCCAATAAGAAGTGAACACATTCCATGAATCCGGGGGCTCAGATATTGGTATGTTTCCAGGTCCTTTTTACCATAATACCCCTGAGGTGATCGCACCTGGGGCTTGAAAGTAATTTCATAGATTCTCAGCAAACAGATGAGGAGAATTTTATCTTAATTTATGTTGAAAATACGTTTTTTAGGTATCAGATGACAAACACCCCGTAAGATTGATAAAAGAAAGCTGTTTAGGCAGATATGAGATATGCCGCTCCCTGCAAGTCATACATAGTAATTAAGAAGCATACTGAATGAAATGACTTCCCTGCCCGCATTTTTACCGTACCGTTTGATTAATATATGCAAAGTCCCCTGCGCATTTTCAATGCTCCCCAGCTCGCTGCTGCTTTATTTTATGCGCGTGAGATATTTAAATTGAAGGCCCGTCTCATGGAAGGAAAACCAAGAAACATGTTACGTTTTCTGCGTAAAAAAAAAAAAAAATTTACATCTTACTTACTTACCACATTGCACACGTGGGGGCCACTCTTGGCATGCAGCGACGCGTGCGAGCCCGGGGCGTTGAGTGAGAATCGCAAATTATATGTTATTGTCAGTCCATATCAGCATATGTAAGCAAATTTCCTGTGAGCTAGTGTATTTATAAAATCAATGTTAAAAATATCAACATCAGTATTAATAAATGTGCTCACGAAAGTTGTGAAAAGCGATTCCGCCCTCGAATGAAAAATAGGACAACTGGTGCTGGCTACGCTTTGCAGGGGTGGTTGCTTTTGGTCAAATTTAAAAATTAAAATATAATGGTACATTCATAAGGAGGACTTGAATTGCTATAACAGGTCGCACATGACGTGGGATTGAGCTTAAGAGCGTGTACGTATAAATATGAGAGGAGCTACGAAATCAGTCATTGACATCTGAGTTAAGAGGGGCTGTTGATTATATATGTGCATAGGCGCTCTTCTTTTACTATTACTCCGTGCCAATTATGCCCACGAAAACAAGATAATGAACCTCGAAAATGGCCAATAATAGAAGTTACATGACAATCAAAGGTGGTCCCAAGACATGGAAAAAGACCGTACGTGTTCCCTTCTAAGGAGGTGACATGTTGAAAGAAAGAATGTGCAATGCGTTCGTGTTTTTTCCCCCATTTAATGTCTAATTATTGTTATTTTTCTTGTTGCGGTTGTGAAACTGGTAGGATTAATTGTACTTATTTTTACGGTATTCAATGATTTCTTTTTGGATTCATAAGGGCATTTATTCACGTATAACCAGTCCTCCAATCAGATTAATTATTATTCCTGGGCTTTATATACTCTCATTTCATCATTCACTGCTTCAATAAAATGTGACAAAATTACATCCGTGATAAAATTCAAGCGTTGAAATTTAATTGAAGAACTGGTTCTTATACACAAGCAAGTTTTGTTTTTCATCTCGGTCCTCTTATGAAATTCACTTGCTAACACAAAATACGACTGCTTTTTTTGGTTCGGCCTGTTATTTTGTTTTGTTCAGTCGGGGGGAAAGAAGGCATAATTTATCTATTTCTACACGTCTGTAAAAATCATAAACGTATTTTCCTAACCCGATTTATGTAGGCCTCATAAATAAAATAAATATGCAAGACCCATCTCGCTGTTATCTGAAATTTGCCGGCCGGGTGCAACAGTAGCATCATAATAAAACATGCTCGTACTTTGTTAACAGAAAATCATGTCCCCTTCCTCTCTTTTTTTTGGCCTTTCTTTTTAAGCAAAATCATCGGCTATTCGGGAAATAACGCTCCCCTTGATCTGAAGGAATGCGACTCCGAATGACAAAACTCTTATTCTGAGATTTGAATATGATTATTCCACGACATAAATTAAGAATTCTAATTAAATTAGTAGTTTAATACAAGTTCTACCAACTGAATCTCAAGCGCCTAGTATAATTCTACCTTCAATCTTTGATATAAGATTTAGTGTGACTTTTAATCTAGTATTCAATATATATTCTAATCCATTTTGTTATCATATTTATTTATACTTTTAAGGTAATCGTTGTAGTAATTATACGTGTTAAATGTTTAATCAAATGATGCTTAATTAGCAAGTGTATTTTAGGTAAGACAACACCTATTTATTACAAATAATTAACTTAACTAATTTTTTTTAATCTATTTAAATTGTCAACTAACTTTTAAGACGGGAGGCAGTATTTTTACTATAATGGCTTGATGTCACTAATGGTTCGATTATCAATTATCATCACGAGTCGTGGATCATTATAATTAACCAGCCAAAATAAATTATGAATAAAATATAAAAAAAAATTTCCCAAAGAAAAAAAAAGGAAAAGAAATGATCTATAAAAATGATCGAAGGATTATCGTGTCGCGTTGCTCGCGGTCCTTTGATAATTAGCGGGGAGACGTTTAACAGGCCATTGTTTGATGCCGCATTAAAATTTAAAATCCACTCTATCACCGTGGTTGTTTTTTTTCCTTTTTAATATACCGACGTGTTTGTGAGTACAAACACACACCTATAAACGGTCTTTTTATTATTATTATTATTATTATTATTATTATTCACAACAACACGTATAAAGTATAAACCGTCTTAATCAGCGCATTTAAAGATCCAGTGGTGGACAACTCATTTAGATGAGTTATTTAACTAACCAGACCGCACCAAATAATAGACGAAGACCGGCATTTTCTTACTTAAATCTTGACGACGGCGGGAGTGCAACTCCAGCTTAGTTAAATCTACTTCCTCTAGTTCTAATTATAGGATAAAATTATAAAATTGTAAAGCTCTACTTAATTCTAAATATAGGGTAAAACACAATAGCTTTTTTTTATTTAACATTACCTCTCCTCCTTACTTATAACGAGTTGTTGACGTAAACTTTTAATTTTCAGACAAGATTTTATTGTGATTATTCATTTCGTAAAAAATTTAAAAATAATACTTTTTTTTTCAAAAGATGTCAAGTATTAGTCTTTACGAGCAGGGAAGTTAGTTAATTTTATCCTATATTTAATTACAATGAAGAGGCTGCATATATCATTGGGTGGGGGAAAAGAGAGAGAGAGTGTGTGTTTATACTTTTCTGGTGCTCAGTGTATAACCCAATTGTTTAATTAATTTTAATCCTAAATATAAAACTCATTTTTTATATTTATCAATTTTTTTTAAATTATCCCTATGGATATTTCCTTAACCATAATCAGGTAGAAGAGGAAGATGGGGTATTAAGAAAGATGATTATGGTATTTTATGAAAAACGTGTCATATTCTTATGATTAACTAATTTACCTAACTTCCTTAATCTAGCCAAATTAGTTAATGGAGTCTTATATTAAGGACTGGAGGAGTATATCATCAGAGTTTAAGTGAATTTTATAATTGTAGAAGCAGTAGAACGTCTTAATAAGTCCCAATTCAACTGAAATTAGTGCTCAAATTATGTATTAGCTAGTATTATCATAGGAAGTCAGCATATGGATATATTAAATTTAACAAATAGACTGTTCATTGACTGTAGGAGCATTCATGATAAATTAGTAATAGGGTTAGTATAAATTCTAGTTCCTCAAATTCTAGCCTATTTTGGTATTGATTTCTCAAATTTTAAACCCTTGGTTTTGGTCAATGAAATTTAGTTTGCCTTTAAATGTTAGTTACTTGAGATATAATAGTGTTAAAATTTGTGACAGCATGATAAATAGTGTTAAAGTGGTAATATGAAGTTACAAACTCACCAAATAACATATATCTGAATGTTGTATGGATAATAGATGATTAAAAAAAAAACTCCTCAAAAAGAACAGGTCATGTGATGATTTCCCATTATCACTATAATACCGTTTATAATGCTTTAACAGATTTTAAAATTAACACACGTTAAGGGACTTACATTTTAAGACGAAATAAATTTTAAGAACTAAAATCATAATTTTAAAATTTAAAAGGGCAAAATAAAAAAAATCCAAATTTTAGGGATTACAAATTATATGAACTCTTAATGATAATAAGACCCGCCGAAACGAATCAGACATCATCGAAATCGCGACCTAGTATGATATTTATTTATTTTTAGGTGTAGGGGAAGGCTTCATTTTATAGTAGGACGGTTCCGACGTCAGCTGGCAGCAAATTAGAGGGATATAAAATGAATGAATTAAATATAATGAAGATTAGAAAATTGGGTGAGGGGAGTTCCCGAAACGGTGTGAAAAGAGCGAATTCATATACGTGGCGTGGCGTGAGGCGATGTCTGGGAGTTGAAAAGGCGCATAGTTGAGGCCAACCAAGCTTCAGTACAAACATTAATAAAATATACCTGTCCCCACGCTGCTCTCCCATTTCCATTCTAACCATGTGCTTTAATTTCTCCCCTTCCTTCTTGGCCTCACTGCGCTAGTGCACTCTCGCGCATGCTCTCTCTCTCTCTCCAAAGATATTTGAATTTGTTCTTATTGGCAGTAATTAAGAAGACGAATCCAGTGTAATAGTTTTAATTTATGTGGGATTCAAAACCCGCAGTTCCTCGCCCCCCCCCCCCGGGGGTGCTCGACATAATGTGGTGAAGCGCACAATATCAGGAAGGTGTGTGGTTTGAAGGTAAGGACGGGATCTGCGCTTTCGGTAGAAGAACTTCGGAGCAGCAGTTGAAAAGTAGCTCAGCTTGTATATTTGATTTCTTACATGATTAGCTAAATTGATAACACTAATTATCATGTCGCCTGCTCTTTGATCTGCCTTCTGAGTTAGTCTGGAAACACCTAACATCACCGCGTGTTACTATATCCGAACCAAACATGAATTAATTAATAAATGGCATAGACTGAAATTTGAAACTATATATATATGTATTCATGATGCAGCCAAAGAACAGTTTCATTTGTTTTATGGTAACCGAGTGGGAAATGAGTCAGTCCGGTTCTCAAAAGTCACATGTATGAAAGCGCACCTGGTCACAAATTGCGGAAGAGGTTGAATGACGTCGTGCAAATAATTAATTAATAGATCCAAACTTATAATTGGATGATTTTACGTTCAAAACGGATATCTACAGGGGCGAGTGGACCCCGCACCTAATGTGTAGTCAACATATTTACTTTGATGAGGGGGAAGGGGGGCTGATGAAGGGTGGTCCCGTTGAGTTTGACGGGTGAGAAGCGAAGCAGGGTACGGTTTATCGTCTCCGGGTAATTTTGACGACGTGACCTAATTAAATTTATTTGTTGACAGATCAAGTGTTAGGGGCAACCCACGTAACCAAACAAAATGGTTTTAGGGACGGAGAATGTGGTGGTCCGTTCACTGATGAAGTCACCCCCGTGACAGAGGAGGGCATTCTTGGATTAGAATGATGAAGACGGAGACTGAGGAGGATCACGTGAATATGGTGGGGCACTGAGGAGGAATGAGGAGGTTTGGTGGGCGAAAACCGAGAAGAGAGAACCGACCCAATTCCACAGCGAAGCTTACTTGGGCGGCAGGCTACCGTGCTTAGAATTAACTGGCTTCTATTCATAGCCATGTGTGGGGAGGATGAAGAGACGAGATTAACCAAAAGTGTTGGGCGTATAGCCATACCTATAAACATGGATGAGATTATGAGGAGTGAAGAAAGTCAAGGCTCTGTCATTATCGCCAAAACACCGCGATGCCTTTTTAAAACTAACTCGCCACTCACCAGCGTCCAGCCGCTTGTTTTTCAATGTCATGGGATGGCTGCTCATGTCTTTTCCCTTTCGAAGGCCAACACCCTGTCCCTGATTGGGGTCATTTTCCCGGGGATTCACAAGTGAAAAGTCGGCGGGGCTTGAAAGCATCGGAACTCCGAAGTGAGAACCCTGTTCATGGATTAGCCCTAAAACAAGAGGCCCGTAAACGCCGGCCCAGAAGAAAACGGGCTGATGGGATCGAATGAGCTGGGCCTCCAGCCATATCGATCAAAAGCCCAGACTGGATTATAATAGGCCCCCTCACTTTAGCTGTCCATTTCTCGCACACCCTTCTTCTCCTTCACTTCGATCGAAAGTACAAAAGTGAAAAAGGGAGGGACTTGCCAGCCGAGGGATGCCGCCTCATAAGCTAAGTATCAAAAGACTCTCGTACTTTCGCGTCTTCGTGTTTCACGCTGCCTGCTTCCTCGCATTTCATGGCCTGTCATCACTATTGCATTCAATCTGCATTCTGCTAACATCCACATATCTCCGGCGCTTCTCCTAATGGTAGCTTCACTCTCCTTCCTACTCCCACTTGTACTTTCATCCCATCATCCATACCCTCCTTCTCACTTACCCCCGTTGCCTTCACCGGGTAAAACGAGGGCTGCATCTCCTTTACTGGCACGCACTGCAAAAAAAACCATGAAAGTGCAATCCTTGATCTCTTTTTTTCAGCTGCAGTAAGCAACACACCTACATGGCTTTTCCTTCTAACACGTCAAAAGATTTTTCTCCGATCACTTACTTGCATATCCCCGATCAAGCTGCCCCCACCATCACAATCAAAGCGAGCATTTACAAAATTCCATGCAGCGCCTTTAGTTTCAGGTTCTTTCCTTGCTTCCTGCATCCTTACCTAAATCTGCACCACAAACAAGCTTCCCCCCCAGCTTAATTCTGCTTATAAATTAAGTGGCCTCACTCCCCTTAATCCCATGCATCCTCACTCCACCCTCCAAGGCCGCCTTAATTATACAAAAAAACTATGAGCGCAGTTTCTTTGTTTGTGATACTGACTGCACTGGCAGTTAGCTCTGTGGTCGAGTCTTGCCCTCCCCCGGAATGGGCTGCTCTCATGGCCTTCAAGGCTTCTTTGAATGAGCCCTACGTCGGAATCTTCCGTTCCTGGAGAGGCACCAACTGTTGCTACGGCTGGTACGGCGTCAGCTGCGACCCCACCACTCGCCGCGTCGTTGACGTCACTCTCCGCGGCCTCCTCGACGATCCTATCTTCAAGCACCTCAACCGCACCGGCTACATGTCCGGTTCCATCTCCCCTTCCATCTGCAACCTCACCCAACTCTCCACTCTCTCCGTCTCCGACTGGAAAGCCATTTCCGGCCCTATCCCTGGCTGTATCGCTTCGTCCTTGCCTTTTCTCCAAATCCTTGATCTCTCCGGCAACGTCTTATCTGGAAACATCCCCCACGACATTGGGCGGCTCCGCCAGCTTGCCATGCTCAACCTCGCGGACAATCATCTCTCCGGGAGGATCCCCAGCAGTCTGGCGAATCTCTCCAGCTTAACGCACCTTGAACTCAGAAACAACGCGCTGCAGGGTCCCATTCCGCAAGACATCGACAGGCTCCGAATGCTGAACAGGGCCCTGTTGAGCCACAACAGGATCACGGGCCCGATCCCCTGGACGATATCGAGAATATACCGGCTGGCGGATTTGGACCTATCACTGAATCGAATATCGGGGCGGATTCCGAAGGCGCTCGGCGAAATGCCGGTTCTGGATACGCTGAAGTTGAAGTATAATAAGATAAGAGGGGGTGTGCCGGCGAGTTTGCTGAGTTCAAGAATGAGCCATATAGATTTGAGCAGAAACAAGCTAGTAGGGGGCATAGCGGACGTATTTCACGAAGGAACGTATTTCATAAATCTGGATTTATCGCACAACAAATTGAGGGGTGGCATACCCAGGTCGATGAAGTTGGCCAAGTATATAGGTCACCTGGATTTGAGTCACAACCGTCTTTGTGGGAACATTCCAAAGGGTGCGCCCTTTAACCATCTCGATGCCGCCTCCCTCCATAACAATCGATGTCTGTGTGGAACCCCCCTCAAACCTTGCTAATCCATTTCTCACTCATTATGTTATCATGCGTGCTTGCTTTGTGTCTGTGCCTTTTTCATGAATGTTCCGGTTTGTTGGCTTGGCTTGAGTTTGGATATATATACAATGCGATATAATCTCACTTTTTTTGCTTAACTTTTAATTCACTTGGCTTTCGTTTTTTTTTTTTTTAATTATTAATTCCTGAAATGTACGTCAAAATTTTTCCTATTTCCTGTGCCTCACTGTCAGTTTAATTCCTGTCCCATTTTGAAGTTTCGTTTTGGGATAGCTTTTATTTTCGGCCACTTCATTTCGGGGTCTTTATTCTCTAGCGAAGTGTCCGGAGCGTTGAACTTATTTTCTTTGCTCATAATCACGCAGACACCATTCCGTTATGCAACACGATCTCTAAACGGGACAGTGCACTTTCCTTTACTTACGGGTCAACACGCATCGATACACTATGCCATGATGAGAAAAAACGGTGGAGATCCATTTACTAACTCAGAAAATATCCTGAAAACAAAGAAATACAGAAAGCTTTATAAAACAAAGTGCAGTTTTATTTATGAAACATAACTGGCTAAAATCCTAATCAAGGATAAATTTTCTTTTTTGGTAACAATCAAGGATAAATATTGAGATAGGAGGTGTAAACTTCATCTCTAAAGGAGTGAATGGGCTCCATGAGATAATTCCTGTTGAACCCATTAGCAATAAAGCTAATGGGATGGTACTCCTTCAGGCCCTTAATGGCGTCGAAAGAGGCCGCAGCCTGGTTGAATGAAGCAGAGTTGCTGCATTTCAGGCTCACGTCTTGACCTTCATTATAGTCGACACCACTGTACAAATAGCAACCTTTGTTGTTCACGGACTCGATGGATACAGTGCCATTTCGTCCGTCCAATCCAGGAACCACTCTGAACTCTGAAGACTCCTGACCCGTAGAGGAGCCCACAATCACAAAAAACTTTCCTGGTCCTTGATGCATCAAGCTCTGCCCAGGAAGATGAACCGGTTCGATCAGGACGCGTTTGTTCATGACATCGCCGAGACTCGCAAATGGGCCTTTTTCTAGCAACACCAGTCTATAGGTCGATTGGGTGGCATTAATGGTGCCTGCTTCGGCTATTTTCTCCATTGTCAATGACACGTTCGCTCCCTGGTTCAGGTTTGTCAACACGAAACGCGATGATTTGCCCAAGTCTTGAGCGAACGTGAACAGGTGACTGTTGTTAATTGCTGGGATTGCGGTCATGTAATCCGCTGGTTCCTTATGCGGCCCAACTTTGAGATCCCATTGATCCAGAATGGTGTGACCCACAAGCAGGAACGGACCATAAAGAATCGCACGAACGGAATTATATTGTGGGCCGTTGTCTGAATTCATATAGGACAGGATCAGTGTTGGGAGGACCAAATTTACGAGCTAGACAGTAAGTACACAATTGATACCTTTGATGTGTTCCGATCTTAGAGTGATGGGCAAGCTAAGGGTGAGACTGTCGCCAGCGCTCCACTTTCTTGTCACCGACAAATATGACCCTACAGAGATATCCACGAAAACATTAGATATCAATCATGAATTTCCACGGATAACCATTATGCAGAACCAAACTATATTCACCTCCTTTAACTTGCTGGTTCAAAGGCTTGCCATTAAGCAAGGCATTAAAGCCATCCACATGGGTCCATGTCGGTATACGGAGGTTTAATGTAGAAGACAGGGCTTGTCCCTGCAAAAGGTAGCACGTTTAGAAACATGCATAAACATACACAGGATATCAATAAATGAAGTGGTATATTACGAATGATAAGAGAATTAAAAAAAAAAAAAAAAACCTGAAGGGGAGAAAATGTGAAGGTGACGCGCAAGAAAGGATGCAGTGAAGAATAAGGAGTAAGAGTCTGATTGAGTGCCACGTTGGCAGCATTCCAGTTGAAAGTGCTGGAGATGTACTGAGCGACGTAAAGAGTAGGAGATTTGGCTGCTTCTTCAAAATAAATAGAGTCTCCCAATTTGGAGAAAGATTCACTTCCGGTGCCATAGCAGCACCAGAAGGAGTCAAACTGAGTGCCCCAGCCATTAACAGAGTGGGCCTTGGAAACACCACGACCTTGTGGGAGAAAATAGATCATAACTCCAGGATCTGTTCCTCTTTGTATGCTCAGCACTCCATTTGTCAATTGGCGCTCGTAATAGTCCGCATACGAAACGTCTTTTGTCCATCTATATAGATTGCGAGCTACCTGAACATTCATATATGATTCCAAGGTATAATATAATTAACCATATATATATTAATTACATTTTGGATAGGCAAATGAAACATGAACGTTATTGGGTATTATATTTAATTTACGCGTACCTTCAACATGTTGTAAGACGTGCACGATTCTTCATTTTCGGTGCCAAGAACCTCGGCCATTCTATTCGGCAATTTCCTTATAAATTTAAATTTTTTCCATTAAAATTAGCTAAAATGATTTAATTCAAAAGTTTATGTCATTGTAAGTGCAAAACAGCGCTGAAAATAAATGACAGCAGATATACCAATGCTCAGACACGGAAGTTCCTCCAGTTGCATAGCTGTGTGAAGAATTGACAAGATCCAAAAAGTACGTTGCTATTTCCTATCATAAAGTCACAGATGTGAGACGTGGGAAAAGAATTGAACGTTAATTCAATACTCCAGTCTGCATGGGTATGCATATATATATATATATATATATATATATATATATGTTTACCTGATAAAGCGGGTCGCCCACATATTCATACCGCATTTGAGCTCCAACAACGATTGGGATATGAGTATTTGAATGAAGGTCCGTTATATCTCCAGACTACAAATTGAAATGATGATGAGATTTAAAAGCTGGCAAAACTTTCAGAGAGTCAAGAATTAAAAGAATCAGAATTCAGAAGCGTGGGAGAAACCTGGGTTGCTAGTAAGCCCATGAAGCAAGGCTTATCAAACAAGTGGGCCAAGGTCTGATACTTGGAATTCCCCGTGATGTTGTATAACCTGTAAAGCAGATCATTCATCCCACCAAATTCTTCATTCAGCAGATTATAAAAGCTTGGCAGAGTGTGGTTGCCAACATAATTGGTGATGCGGTTGTAGAAGTAATCGGCCATCCAAGTCGCCATCTTCAGCGCTTCATCATTCTCTGCGAATGTGTATTGATCCACCAGCCCCGCCATGATCTGTATCAATTTTGTTATAAAAGTTTAATGTGATGTTCATTCGTATGGTTTCAAAACTTGACGGAGTATAGGTCAGTACCTTGTGAATGGTGTAATAAGGAGCCCACACATATTTCCCATTCTCAAGACGATCAAAGAACTCGACTGGAAATGCAGAGAGATATCCGGTGTTTATTTTCTTCTGACACAGAGACAGATTGCCCACAACCGCTAACATCTGATCTCTCAGAGCTTCGTTGTGAGTGCTGGCCCACATTTGGGCAGATGCACTCAAATAATGACCTGACGAATGAGTGATTCAGTAGTGAAGCAAGTAATTAATTAACAAACAAGATCAGGAATTAATAGCAGACAGTACCAACAAAATGACCCCGAAGCTCTATATTCGGGGCCTCCCAGCCTGCATAAGGCTGTCCAGGAGTGGGCAAGCCGGCAGTTTTCCTAAAGCTCCAAACCAGTCGGTCCACGTCGAGCATCAAAAGATATTGGAGATTAGTGTCCTGAGCAGAATGATGAAGTGAATGGGCATGCAATCTGACATCGTGGAGAGATACTGGTTTGAGAAAACCCTGGGGAGGCGAAAAGTCACTCTGCTTCTTGAGTCTTCTGTATATGGCTTCCCACTCGTACTGGGAAGGATCTTTCAGTGTTTTTCTGGCCTTGGGAAGCAGATTCCGCCAAGCGGATTCGTCCGTAGGGGTGACATGATGTGTTTGGTGGTGGTTTGCAGCCATTTCATCCCTCCACGAATCATTCTTTGATATTTGCATGAAGTATCGTTCGGTGTGAGAGCCATGAACGTTTGTACAATCTTTCGCCGCCGCATACCCCCACACTGCAAATACAACAGCCGCTATTAGCACTGCACCCTTCATCCTCATCGTCCTCACAATTCACGTCAACTCAAAATTAACCATCGGCTAGTATACGTATATATAAGTTCCTTGCATTATCTAGTTGATTTTATAATTATTTTGCGCGCGATATTGTACAAAATTCAAACAGATTATGAAATCAGTTATAATCTTGAATGATTCAGAGATAGTTTGTTTGTTATGCAAATATAGATTCCGGAAAATCATTTAGCTTGATTGTACATTCTGCTTGGACACTCTTATTAATGATTTACAGGACTTGTTGATTTATTCGTTCATCGTAGATCATTATTCTATAATATATCATTAATTCATTTACAATATCTTCTCTTTTATACATGTAATTATTAATCCACAAAATTTTTAAATGAAACATCTGATAAACACATTCTGTGTCGATTATTCTGATATCGGAATTTTTAATTTATTCCAAAAAAAAAAGTAGATCCACTTAATTTATAAACAATGTTAGTGTTTATTAATTACGTGGCTCCTCCAATATTCGATCACCGGTCTTCTCTGCTAAACTGTTTAATGTAGTCTAAATTTTGCGTCTTATCACTTGATCTGAAGAATAATTAATACAGAAAGGAGCACAACGGGACGGACCTACCATCCACATATAGATCCCACAAATCATGAAAAAATTATATATAATGGCCCTGAAATTTTCACTCGCTCCATTATAAAATTTCAACTGCACCCCACTAAAAACTTCATTTGTCCCTAAAAAATTTATTTTGACCCAAAATGTTGTCTATGTTTTATGACCTAAAATAAAGGAGTGTTTGGAGGGAATAATAATATAATAATTTAGAAGATAATTTTTATTAATGGTTACAATCCAAGATTCTATCACTAGGATTTTTCCTATTATGCAAAAGTGATAAATAAATTTAATAAATAATAGAAGAATATGACTCTGATAGATAAAATTTAATATATTGTTTTCATTCAGTAAAAAGATATTCATATCGAACATTTTGTTCTTCATGTTATATTATAATTTTACGTTTCATGTATTGTATATGTTTATTATTTGATTTAAATAAATTTTATCTTTAATGTAACTTAATAAACTTTTTAATGCAATTATATTATATCTTGTACTGCAGGAGAGCTGTTGAGGGTACGTAGTTACGTGTTTTTTCGTCTATAAAAACGTTTGAATTTTTAACTTTATTTAATAAATATTTTAAATTATATCTCTGAAAAAATGTTAATATTTTTTAATATAGTTGACCCCGCTAATTACTCTTCTTTTTTTTTTGGTCCGTCACTGAGCAGCGAGCAGAAGTATAGGGAATCAAAAACGTTGTCTCCACATTTATATTATCTTGTTAATAACTGAAACCTAACGACGATACACACACAGACATTGGAGTAAACATGAAGGAACAAAGAATGGCAAAGGAAAAAAAATGATGGAACAAAGGTAAATACAAGTATAAACTTTGACTATTAAAAGGGCCAAAAAGGTACACGAGTCCCGATCTATATGAGTATGTTGCTTTGCCGTCAAAGGTAAACATACTACCTGGCTTGGCCTTGGCCCCCTTGCCCCATCATCTCAAAAATTGACGTGAAGACTCAATTCTAATTATTTTCACAAAATCAGCTTCAAAAAATAATTTTTTATTACATGATATATTAATCATCGCCACATGAACAAAATAAAAATGACCTCTAGGTCTCACACAACATAATAATTAAATGCAACCAGGACATAGACGCATTCCAACCTTCATGTCTTTCCTCGATCGGGTCCACACTCTCACCCTAAAATGCAACGAGCAGAAGAAAACGAAGGGCAATAAAAACAAACATATATTCCAATGATGTTTGAATAATCACATTAGATATATATGACATGAGAGTCGAAAAGCAAACAACTCTGAAACAAAATAATGGATTATAACGTGTTGATAATTTCCAATATTATTGTAGACAAAGTTTGCAAAGCATAGATACCACGTTCCCAACCCTGTTGATTACTGTCATGCTCTCAACACGTGTTTCAAATTATTATGTAAATGTTTGTGAAAAAATGTCTGAAGCATTCTAAGCATTGTCTTTGATTTGTGATTTGGCGCCTTTAAAATTCATTACTTAATTAAGATGGGATTCTAAAATGCAAGCCAAACACGCAATATCAAGTAGGCAATTGCAGTACTCAGTGAATCAAACTTGTAACCAGTCACCAGCAAAGACCAAATTCAAGACATAAAGCGACTACAGAGATCAAAGACTTTTCCACTGGCACTCACGAATCCGGCCGGCGGCAGCGATGGGTATCATAAAACCAGCTAGAACCAGCTCCCTAAGTAATCATATATATATATATATATATATATATCTGCTAATTTCAAGGAATAAAAAAAAAAGGTGGCACATGAATAATAGCAAACACAGTAGATATAAAATCACCTTCGTAATACCTCTTACATATTCTCAAATCTCTACTATTCTCCCTCCCACAGTTGTTTTTGGCGACCATGGGGAGAAAGAGTGTTTTTAAGATTAAAGCTACTTAGGCGAATATAAACTGAATTTTTTTTTTAACAATTAATGATATATCGGGGAAAATTTGAAACAACTTTATAATAATTAATCGTGTTGTGTAGGATATCTAGGAGTGGGGGTAATCTTTAATAGAAAAAGAAAAAGGAAATTGAGCGCGCCATGGATGTGATTAAAAAAAAAAAAAACGGAGGAAATGGGAAGCTTTTCGGGTGTTGTGAGGGGGACAAAATGTAAAATACAAAAGCCCAGGAGAGCTTTTGATTTAAGCGGGAGAGTGGTGGCGTTGGAAGCATATATGGCCCAGGAATTGGATGCTTCATCGGTGAAGAAAGATTCGTTTCGGATTCAGGGGGTGTCTCTCTTTACGGTCATGGTCAGAAAAGTCACCATGTTTTGGTTGTCATGAAAACTAAAGTGTCACTCGCATTTAAGCTTATTAGGTTCATCGATCAGTTTGTTTTGTACTTTGACTCGAAAGCTACAGCATTGAACTTCCTCGCTTTTCCCCTCACTTTCACACATCCACATATATCCAATGCCCAACCCACACAGCATTCTTTAATTTGTTTCGCCTCAAACGTTAAACGGTCATGTGCCCTTCGATCGCCGCACATATATAAGGTTTGACTGCATTCCCCCAATTACTAATAATTACAATAATCGTATATATCCATAACTTTCGCCATCAAGCTAAGTGACCAGCTTTATGCATCCTCAAATTGAATGTAAATTCAGATGACAGCTACTGCTCATATATCAATGGGACAGGAAAAGATGGTACTCATCTTTTATGTAATGCCATACTAGATTGTAGACAAGAGGTGAGACAAGAAATTGGATTCCTTGGGTTTATTCAAAGTGCCCTAAACCATAGCTTCTTGAGAAGTGACGTTCAAATTATATGTATCAATTATTGCTCTTCTAACTTAGCCGGTGAGAGGCAAAATGTTCTATGTCAGATGATGAAGAATTTATTCTCATTTGTGTTGTCATCGTGACAGAAATGTAGGGGGCAGAGGCCGAACACAAGTCGTGAACCACACATCGCTTTGTCGGGCAACTCAACATGTATGCAGAGTCCGTTCTGGTTAGCGGTTACTACCTTATTCCATACTCACAACCCAACAACATGCCTCGCCCTCTACGCGCTTAAATTTGCTCCGTCTATCTCCACCTAATTCCAACCCCACCCCCAACAGAGAACAAACTTGTTATTTTTCACGAACTTACTATCCAATTAATTGCATGTTACTCCTATATGTCAAGTTTAATTACTTGGGAAAAACTGAAACTTGAAGAAGTAAGGAAGTATGCACAAAACTTTGAGGAAATTAAGTAGCTTCGGCCTTGTTTGCCGGATCGCAGCAAAGGGAAGAAAGGACTTTCACCAGTTTTTCTTGAGTGAGAAGCGGATAGATGTTGGTGAAAAAAGGAAGTGAAGTTCATCAAAATATGTTCCAAATGCATCTCTACTAACTTCAACATTATTCAACAACTTCCTACTTGACCCACCTTACAAGTTGAAGCTGTTCCATTAACCTTAGCTTACTCAAACCAAATGCACCTAATTTCACACCAATTAATTATTTACGGTTTCCATAGCATTTGGGAGCACTTTCAAGTTTCAATTTTTAGAGCAAACTTCTCTTACCAGATCGCTCTGTTAGCTCGGGAACCCAATACATTTTCAGATCATTTACCCAAATCAAAACAACAATATTTCACTCTCCTTATACAACACAATGAACATTTCATTTGAAGCACGTCAAAAGGACTTCAAAGAATAATCAACCGTATGGTACAATCCCTCACCCCTTAATTATTACAATATTTTATGCCTCCTATTTAACTTCTCCATCGCCTTCTTCTTCTTATTTTTTCAATGACGTCCTACGGTAAATCTATGTACACAAATATTACTAGAGTGCCAAAAAGGAAAAAAAAAAGACAAAAAAAAAAAAAAAACTAACTAATTCCTCCGTGCCTCAAAATTCTCCGTACGAGATATTCCTCTGATACTCAGAAGACGGCGATGCAGAGAACGAGGGCGGCGATTTCTGGCTACGGAAGTAATCAGTTATGTCCGTACCGCTGGCAGTGAAGTCGCCGCCGTCCTCTCTCGGCGGAATGAACGGCGGCCTTACCAACTCTGTCAGTAGGTCCCACTTTACCCCTCTGAAGAACTCGTGCTCCCTGATCTCGCACGCGCCTCGCACGTAACCCAACCGCCTTGTGGGATCCTTCTCCAGTAACCGCTCGATCAAATCCGTTAGTACCGTCCGCTTTCCGATGAATTCCGGTGCTTTCAACAGAACATTCCGAAAAGTTTCCTTCCGGTTACTCCCTTTGAACGGCGTCGTACCGTACAACATCTCGTAAGCTAATATTCCCAAGGCCCACCAATCAACGGCAAACTCGTGACCGTCGCCGCGCACTACCTCCGGTGATACGTACTCTTCCGTGCCCACAAACGAGTTAGACTTCTCACCACTGGAGAAACTCGGTTTCCGGCGACTCACCGGGCTGACTCGGGCCGACTTCGCCTTCTTCAACCCCTTCTTGTTCTCCGGTGCGGTGGGGAACCATCGCGTCAAATTGCGTCGATTTTTCCGGCGAATTTCGGGGAAATTGTCTTGAGCCGGTGTTGAGGAAATCACCGTTCTGATGGATTTGGGTTTGAGCTTATGAGAGAGGTCGAAGTCGGTAAGAGTGACGTGGCCGGACTGCTGAATGAGGACGTTCTCGGGCTTCAAATCGCGGTAGGCGATGCCAATGCTGTGAAGATGGTCGAGGGCGCAAAGGATCTCTGCTAAATAGAAGCGAATGACAGCGGGGGAGAAAACCCGATCACTCTGGCGGTGAAGGAGGACGTGAAGGTCACCACCAGGGCAATAAGGAACAGCCCAACCGAGAAGCTGGTCAGACTCGATGGTTCCGAGAAGGGAAGGGAGGAAGGGGTGGGACAAACGAGTGAGGACCTGGATTTCCCAGCGGGCACGGCGGTCGGCGTCGAGGGTAGTGTGGCGGGAATCAACGGAGGATTTGTCGAGGACCTTGAGAGCGAAAGGGGAATGGGCAGAGGGATCGGATAAGGTGTCGTGGACGAGGAAGACAGTGCCCATGCCACCCTTACCGAGGACTTTGAGTGCTCTGAGGTTGTTGAGGGGGAGCTCCGGCGATGGTGGGGTTGAAGATTCCATATGTATGTCTCTGGTGGACTGAGGAAGGACCGGCGTTTTGAGGCACATATGGTTTTTAGATTTGGCTTTTATAGGACTTGCTTTTCATTGCTTTGTTTTCCTTTCTGCTGCTGTTAGTGACGGTGCTCTTCTCTGCGTGTGTATATGTACATTGCCTGGTTCTTATTTCTTTTTCCCCTCTATTCCTCTCTTTTTTCTTTCTTTTTTTTACCTTTATTATTGCCCTACGGTCTCGCCTCGCTCCCGTTTTTCTTTACCCCTTGTGTTGCTTGAAATCGTTTCTGAGTTCTAACTATATGACTAATAAGTAAAGAGAACGATTTGTTAAATGAAGAGTAGTAATTATAACTGAAGCGCATTATAACTGAGGACGAATTACGAGCAGTAAGAATTAAATTTAAAAAGTATATAAGGTTTAAAGATGTTTGCTAAGTGAAAAAAATACTGACAAATACTAAGAAAATTTAGAAAGAACACTATGGATGCAGTGAAGGGAACGGAAGAATATATAGAATTTTATTTTGTTGTATTTTAATTTTTTCTGTTTTTTTGGGGGGGGGGGTTGAAAGTGAAAAGTAGGCTGTAAAAAAATGAGGGAAGAATAATGATGGGGGAGTTTGACTAGGATGCATGGATCGAGAGGGAGAGGGAAGGAGGTGGAGTCAGAGATGGATGCATGATATGTATGGATGCGGATATGAGAATGTTGTGCGGGTTGGGAGTCATGATGAAGTGAGGAGGGGCATAAAGCAGGGGAAGGACCGAACGGGTGGGATGCACGTGCGACTCATAAAAGTTTTCCAAGGGAAAAAAAAAAGCACAATAAATATAATTTTATTTATAGTATATATTATATTCTAATATTATTTTTCTGCTACATCTAATACTTGATATTATTTTTTAACTATATCTGGTATTCTAATTTTATCTATAATTAAGGTGGTGGGTACACTATAAATAAAATCATGATATGATCTTGTAAGCACCAAAGAAAAAGAAAAAATTAGAATGGTATGTGCATTATATATATAACTTGGATGAAAAGTAACATTTGGCTTTTGAGTACGGCCCTGCCATATAATTATATTATAATTGAGGAATACAGTAAGTGCATTGGTATTATGTTCTGTTGGGAACAGGGAACAGGGTGGGGGTTATGTTAGAAGCCTCATTGGCATTTAGGGCTTCCTCTGATCGGGAGGGTCACAGAGAGGAGTGTGTTCTGCGGGAGGTGTCCCATCCGTAACATGGTGTGTGCAAGCAGGGCCAGCTCTCATTTTCAAATGGTAGGCTTAGCTTCATTTAATTTCATTGATGACAAATGCATGCCGCCTCTCTGTTGCTATCTATCTGTAGATATGTGTGCCGACAAAAACACGTACAATTCCCTCATGGATATGCGCTTGCTCTCTTCTCATCGGGCAATCTCATGTTCCTTTGTTTCTTCTTCCGCCTCCCCTCCCTACACTCTACTCTGTCCCTCCTCACTCACCTACTCACACCATCTCTTCTCTTCCCTTCCTTCTCAGCCTCCTCACTTGCCAGTTTTTTTAATAATATCAATCTAAGTTTACGTGTTATGGGCCTTCACACTCCTAAGTTTGCATCAAGTTTATTTAACACTCCTTCTTAAGATCAGACTTCAATTTAAACTTGCCCAAAATCTAACTTCACCTTCAAGTTGATTTCTGTGTGTGCCTGTACACACACACACACGTATATATATATATTTGTTTACATAACAAACTAAGCTGCCGAGCTCACGAGTCAATTACTTTATGAAAATAAGTTTAGCTGTGGGCTCGAGTTTAACCCGTTTTCCAAAACAGGTTAGGTCACGAGTCTCTAATAAGAGGGTGATAAAACTGAAGAGAGACACCAGTCACGTTGAAGGATGGATCCTGATGAAGTTGTGCATTTGGCAAAAAGGGTGATTGGTAAAGGTGGTGGTGGCCGGGGTGATGAGATCGATTAGGTAGGCGGTGGGTCGAGGGGAAAAGGTTTGGGCTTCATGCCAACATAAAAGACATCAAGGGAATATAAATAACATGGTCATACGAGTGTGATTAATTAGGTTAAAATAGAACTGGAGCTCTTGCTGTTGGGGAACACTGAGTGGTGACATAATCATTATGCCTCCTTTACCACCAGACTTGACATTCGACAATGTATGACAATATATACATACTGAGAGCTTAATCTTCCTGTTGCAAATTAATTCCGTCTTTTAGCACAATAGTGTTGCCTTATTAAGACGAAAATCCTCAATTCGAAAATTAAATAATGTTGACGAATAATATATACAATGATCATCTGGTTATATGTTCGGCGATCGTGCGGTTCATCAAATCCTTTTGTTAGAATCACCCACAAACAACTGTAGAAAGGAACCCACAGCTGCTTCTTTTGACATTGTGTTATATATGAATATGACGGCATTATATATATAATTCTTAATGTATTGAGTGATCTACCTAGCCATATGCTCTATAAATCTCTCCCTTGCTATCTTGTCGTCATTAGATTTTTAATCAGCTACTATAACTAACTAACATGATACAGCATACCAAAAATACAACAATAGAACTGCATCAGTATTTATATTTATATTCTCTGAGAAGTGAAAAAAAAAAAATAATTGAGGTGGAGACATAATTTAATTTGTGGGATTTTAAAAGGTAAAGGCATATGGAATAAAAGACAAAAAGAAAGGAGAGAAAAGCAAGATAAAGCTGGGAATAATCAGGGAAAAAAAGATGAAAGAGGAATAATCAAGGGGCCGATGGATGGATGGATGCACACACACACACAAATGGAGGGATCACATGAAGCAATTTTAGCGTTTGATAGGAACAACTGAGAAACATGTGGGTGTGGCGGGGTCCTTTCTATATGCTGCCCCGCTCCCTTCCCTATGACTCACATTTCATTCAATATTATATTGCCCCCTTCCCCTCTTGTTTTGCTGCCTCTCCTCTCTCTCTCTCTCTACACACACACACACACACACATGTCTCCTCCATCTGATCTCTCTGTGGTGTGTGTTTTCCTTATTATTTTGTACTCTCACACAACCGATCAATGTAATATAGAACTGCAAGTTTCTACATTGCTTATATTGATCATCTCTCTCTCATCAGAAGGATCATAAGTTTTTTTAATCTATCGTATTTTTTACTTCATCCTCGCCACCATGCACACTGGTTAATCCTAGCTACCAATTTTGTTCCATCATATATAACTCGATTCAATCTCTCATTTATATACATAAAAAAAAAAAAAGAAATTCTTCCCAAGAGAAAAGTAGGTATAATGAATAATGAGACTAGTGCAGGTTTTATTCTTACAAGTGCTTCTCATTTAGTAAGTGCTACTCACGTGTGAGCCTAGGAGGATTGATCAATCTATTATTGTAATGCCCAGCGACCCGAATCTTTGATGATGTAGATAATTAATCATGATTTGTGATACGTTTAACAGCTGGTGCCCCATTAATTACTATACATATTATAGCCGTGAAACCATTATTTGATTTGGTAGGGTAGGGCTCCTACAGCATCGATCCTTACCACTTTCTCAGACTATAAAACGCCAACTTATAATCAATCACCTATCTTTTTCTCCTACCTAGCTACAATTCATTCACTAAATGGGTAATTTGAGCTTCTTTATGACTTGCTTCTATCCCAATGCCATAAATTCAAAGCATGATCTAGAAAATACTACTTTCAGATTATTAATTCTAGTTTGGTAGGTATAATTATAATTAATTATCAAGAAATCCCCAATATGCTGAGATATGAAATAACAATCTCCTGAATGGCCGCCTGAGAATATCACGATCACACCGATCGTAATCAGCTTCAGTGCATAGAATGCTTTTGACGTAATAAAATGAATATCAATCATACTGTAGTACGTGGTAAATCTCTCACAAGATCGCTTAACAAAGCTTTTTTAAAAGTGTGATCGAGGATGGCCATATAGCTTATTCTTTAATCTGTTTTATAGAAGGCTATAGTTAACCAAGCTGCCATGTGCAGTGGGCAGGCAAGCAAAAGCATAGTTCTACTGTAAATATATAAATAAATATCAGCTACTAGATGTGAGTAATTGCGAGAGTGAGGCTTAACGATTAATTGAAAACATTAAAAAGGCAAAATAGAAATTATTTCATGGGTTCTGGATTTTGGTACCACAGACAGCAAGACAATCACAGGCGACAGAGGGAAGGGACTTGTTGGCCTTGGGGAAAAGGAGGCACACATCCAAAATGGCCGTATATAAAGATATAGAATACAAGTTGAGGGTCAGATGCATGTTTAATTTGTAATTTGGTTTGGGGTTGTATGGTGGACTTGGAAACACAGAAACCCCACTCGTACAATTTTAAGAAAAAGGCTTCTCATTACCTTTGAAGTTTCACCCTTTGTGTTCTGGTCGGTCATCATTTGGTAGGAGAAAATGTAGCCTTCCACCTAAGCCCTCTAAGCAAGGGATTGAAGCTATACTAATTATATTCCTCCACCCATGTCAAAGTTTGCAACATATTTGTACTTTAAGGAAAAAGAGACCACTTTATACTTTTCTTGATGCCTTTGTCGGCCATCTTCCCAACGCTATTCCAATCGTTACCAATTTTAAATTTGATTTGAGTGAGTAAAACATATATATATATATATATATATATAAAGGGCATTGCTACATATTCTAATTACACAAAATTATCCATATTTTTTTCCTTGGGGAGGGCCTTTTTCCCTCGGGCGATTAACATTCATGCATGAGTGTGTGTGCGTATACAAACACACAGTATTACGTGCTTAATTACCTAGGACCAAGAAATGACGTAATATATCCATGGAGGATGAGTTCAAGTGGCTAATTTGTTTTTTCTTTGTGGTACGTCAATAATTTGATACTGGTTTTAAATCCGGGAACTACGCATTTATATTGTCCTATATTTTAAGAATAATATTGCTTGTTGTATATGGTGCTTAAAATTTCAGTTTGAATGATGACCCCACACGAACGCACCCGATTGATGTCATAGGTTATATTATTACTGCCTGTTATTTTCAAATATATAGCAGTTGCGCACGGAGTATTATCATTAACTT